GTTTTCAGCCTTATTTCTTCAACTACTCCCTGGCCCGCCCCTTCCCTTTTGGGACTCAGTTGCTATAGATGTTGGGTCTTTGATGATTGTCCCATAGGCCCCTGAGGCTGTTGTCTATTGTGCTGCTCAGATTGAGCAAATTCTATTCATGTTACTCATCTTTTCTCACTTTTACTACTACTGAGCCAAAATAGGAAGCTTGTTCAGTTCTGTCTTTGCATATTCAAATTTTAAAAACTATTTACCAGAGTCTCTCTCCTAAGAAAGAGGCAGACGGCATCGGTGGCCCACTTGCCCAGCAGCTGCCGTGGCTGGGGCTGGGCCAGACTGCATCCAGGAGCCTGGACTCCACCCAGGCCTCCTACTTGGGTGGCAAGATCCCAGAGCACCCACTGCTTTCTCGGGTGCAGCAGCTGGAAATTGAGCCAGCTTTGCAAGCAGTGGCTTAACTCATGCGCCACACTACCTGTCCCTTCTCTTTTGCTTCATCATTACTGGGTTTCCTATACATCGAATATTGAGCTAGAGACTTCCTTTTTGTTCACTTGTCTCAGGGTGCTGGTTTCGGGTTGAGAGTACACCCACTCCCTGTCACTCCAGCTGCAAGCAGACTCCCTCTGTCCGTCCTCCCTCTGAGGGCACGCATGCTTGTCCTCTGCATTCTAGAAGTCCTCACACGTGCCTCCACATCACTGCCCCATGCCTCAGCACCAGCTGGTCCTGCTCTCAGCAGCTGTGGAGTTTCCATGCAGCTCCTTCTCAGAGCTACATTTGTTGCCATCGACTTTAAAGATTTATTTTTTTATTATTTTTTCATTGGAAAGGCGGATATACAGAGAGGAGAGACAGAGAGGAAGATCTTCCGTCCCATGATTCACTCCCCAAGTGAGCGCAACGGGCCGATACTATGCCGATCCGAAGCCAGGAGCCTCTTCCGGGTCTCCCACGCGGGTGCAGGTTCCCAAAGCTTTGGGCCGTCCTCGACTGCTTTCCCAGGCCACAAGCAGGGAGCTGGAAGGGAAGCGGGGCTGCCGGGATTAGAACCGGCGCCCATATGGGATCCCGGGGGTGCAAGGCGAGGACCTTCAACCACTTGCGCCACCGCGCCGGGCCCGTTGCCATCGACTTTAGCCATCTACTTGAGACTGTGTTAAGTCCAAGGGGCACTCACTGCATTTCCCCAAACACATGGCTTTCTGTCACCAGTTAGAATCATCCTGTCTCCTGGATGCTGTTTCATCCATTCCCCCACAGCAAACTGCTCAGACCTGAACCTGACAGTGATGACGGCTGGGGTACCTAGCAGCTTGCATTGGCATTTCTCTGCAGTCAGCTATGCGGGCACTGTGGAAGGCCAAAGCAGCCCTGGACTCCCAGGAGAGGCAGGACTGCTCACGGCAGCGAGAGCGGTGCTCACCCTGGAGGCGTGGAGCTGGTGGCATCTCCTTCATCGCAGCAGCACTTGAGCTGTGGACTTAGACGAGTGGACTTTGTGTCAGGATGTCCCACCACTGCTCGGGGGCCAGGGTCCTCAAGGCAGCAGTTGGTTTGGGTGAACCCAGCAGGGTGTACCAGTGGCTGTGTTAAGAAACCTCTCTGGCGGTGGGTGAGTTTTGGTCCCCCCCTAGGTATGGAGCCAGCTCTTCTCCCACACCTACCGTGGTTTCTGTCAGCACTGTTACTGGACTGGCAGTGGGAGCCACGGAGTCCCTGTGTGTCTCCTGCTCCACTGTTCCCAGGAGTCAGATTAGGAATAAGAAGGGAGAAGCCTTTAGAAGTGAGAAATGAGGCTCTTTACCCGTGGCACCACACCCAACCTCAGCATGGTGAGAGGCCAGGACACGGTTACTAACAAGTGGCTCAGGACAACCTAACCTTGCACTGTGCGCCTTGTGCATCCCTTAGGCTGATGAGAGGCTAAGGGCCATGAGGTTGCACACTGGGTTATGTAATGCAGTAGGAAAGTACAGGGTGGTACCTGAAGCTCCACGACAAGCAGGTAACTCAAGTCAGCTGCCCACAGCTCTCTCCTGCTCCAGCACTGGAACTCAAGCAGCACGCTCTGTCACATCCAACAGGCCCTGCTATAAGCTGAAAATATCTAGGGATTTGGCAATAAAAACAAATTAGCCCCAAGCTGGGATTTTTTTGTATGACTCAATGTAAGAAGTAATCCTCAACAATGCCTGGTCACCACATGCTTCCACTGCTGTTTGTTTCTTAAAGATTTATTTATTTTACTGGAAAGGCAGATGTACAGAGAGGAGGAGAGACAGAGAAGATCCTCCATCCGATGATTCACTCCCCAAGTGGCTGCAATGGCTGGAGCTGAGCCAATCTCAAGCCAGGAGCCAGGAACTTCTGCTGGGTCTCCCACGCGGGTGCAGGGTCCCAAGGCCTTGGGTCATCCTTGACTGCTTTCCCAGGCCACAAGCAGGGAGCTGGATGGGAAGTGGAGCTGCCGGGATTAGAACTGGCACCCATATGGGATCTCAGCATTTAAGGCGAGGACCTTAGCCATTACACTATTGTGCTGGGCCCAGCTGTTTTTTTTTTTTTTTTTAAACTCTTTTCCAAGCTAAAGTTCTTTAAAAACAAACAACAAAAAGGATCAATTTTGGTGACAGATGGAAGCCAGGGCAAGCCACGAGGTGTAGGTGCTGGGGAGGGCCACAGGAGGAGTGGGATGTGCCCCATCCGCCACCTAAGCTCTAAGGCAAGAGTGAACTTAGAGCACTTGTGTACACACACTGTGTTCTATGAAGTCAGGATGTAGCAAACCAGGAGAGCACCCAGGTCTAAGTGGATGACGGAGACTCAGTGGAAGGAGCATCTGCAGAAGCTGCAGCCGGGGACAAGCCTGCTCCATTTGGTGGTCACTGGAACTGTGTGTAAGGCATCCGACGCCGCGAGGAGGCTGCTGCTTCGTACAGGCGAGGCCAGGGGCCCACAGCTGATCAACTTCCAGAGGGATGGTGGTCCGGGCAGAGCGGCGTCCCTCACTGCACAGGCCGCTGTGTGGTGGCCATCACTGCCTGGGAGTCTGGCCGGTTGGTGATTTCGACCTCCAGAGCTTAGCAGGAGGCTCATCAGTCTTTCTGACCCAGAACCCGGTGAACAGCCTCCTGTTCACATCAGACAAGTGAGTGAACCCTAGGGACATTGAGGCCAGGGGGAAACGGACATGGGTTTTGGAAAGTTTAACCTTCCAAGTGTGTCAGGTACAAGAGGCAGCTTTCCACAAGTGTCTGCATGAACTTCCCTACTGCAGCGACACGTTCTCTGAGGAGAACAAGCAACTGACAGTTGTTGCTGTTTGAGGAAGATGCAAGCTGCTCATTTAGGGGTCTACCTAGCAACTGAAACACAGGTGACTCACCAGCAAATCCTGAGCACTGAGTCACCAACTATCTGGAATACGGCCAAGAGCCAAGCAAGCAGCAGGAAGCGCTGGGCATTCACCTGGTGTCTGAGCTCCACTCCCTTTGGCCTGCCCGTGCTCAGCCACATCCAGGCCTGGCCGATCTGGCGGCGCTCCAGGCAGATCAGAAGGTAGCTGGTATCAGGCAGCAGGCTGGAGCATTGGGACCAGAGCCAGAGACGCTGCTCTGAGAAGAGGGCGAGAGCACAAATAACACCAAGGGCTTCCACTGGGCAGGAGAGGACCGATCCCTGGAAATGCCGTTTGTAGAGCATCTATTCTCAGGGTTGGCACGGCGAGTCCACAGCTAACCCTCTGGTGGCACTAGCATCCCATGTGGGAGCTGGTTTGAGTCCTGGATGCTCCACTTCCCATGCAGCTCTTCAGTATGGCCTGGAAAGGTAGTGGAGAATGGCCCAAAGCTCTGGGCCCTTGCATCCATCCACATGGGGATCTAGAAGAAGTCCTGGCTGACGTGGCTGTGTGGGGAGTGAACCAGTGGATGGGAGATCTTTTTCTCCTTCTCTCTGTAATATCTGCTTTTCAAGTAAAATCACATGTCTCTTTCTTCTTTTTTTAATAATACTTATTATCTGATCATTATCAAAACATCCTCTACTCTGCAGTGCTTGGAGCCAGAATTCACAGCTGCTTCAACTGCCCTCAGTGGGGCCCAGGCAGCGCCCTTTCCTGGCCTGCATAAACGCTTCCCCTGGACAGGGCTGCAGGCACTGCTCCAGGGAGGTGCTGGTGAGAAAGCCCCCGCAGCACCTGCCACTCCACAGCCAGGCAGCTGCAATGTGCTGCCACTCCATCCTGGGGGTAGGACGGCTGCTGGCCTCTGACCCACTGGGCAGAGGACCCCTGAGTGCATGTCAGGGGCAGCGCCCATCCCAGCCCTTGTGAGGTACAGCCCACTTCATCTGCACCAGCCCAGTAGCCCATCAGCAGGGGACCACTCTCCCATCTAATGGGTGTAACTGCTTGTTGTCAATGGAAAGCAGAGCTAGATCTGCACGACCCTGACCCACAGTGAGGCAGAATGTCAGTGAAGAGAAGGCGCAGGTGGGAGAGCCCAGGGGTTGAAGGTGGCTGGAAACCAGAGTGGAGCATGAGAGGCGGGAAGCAAAGGAAAGCACATGTTATCGGCCCTTGACTTCCTGGCTCGGCTAGCTCTGGAGTAAAGCAGTGGCTCCTCCTCTGCCGTGAATGAAGCTGAGCGTGGCAAGAGGCCACTGCCGACTCCTGGATCCCACGGCCCCCTCCGGCCAGCCCAACCCCCCGCCACAGGAACCAATCTGGCCAGGTTCCTTCGGACAGCATGTGAGAATGGGGCCTTTTTTGTCTTTATTTTTATCATCCAGATGTAGCTTCGGAGAGCTCTGGACTCTGGTTGTGCTGAGAATGAACAGTGTGTCTGCCACAGTCTACACTTGATCTCACCCAAAAGGCCGAGAATCGATGTCTGCCACTTTCCTTATATTTCCCCCTAACAGGTGTTCGACTCAGCATCTTTGTTTCTGCTCTACACAATGGAAATAGAAAGTAAATGAGGAAAAAAAAAAATACAAATTACGAATCTGTTCCAAAATATACTTACATTAAATAAAATATGCATTTCAGTAAGAGATCTACAGTGAAGGGCTGCACTCTGGGACAGGGCCAGCATCCGAGGCAGCAGCTACAAGAACGGGATCCAGTCAGTCTGTGGCCGGCTCTCCCTGCCCGTCTGCAGCTCCACTGAGCACTCGGCCAGCGTCACTCGGGCAGGACATCTCCACTCCCCCACAGCCTACACAGCAGTGTCTCAACAGTGAACATGTTAAGGGAAGCAGACAACGCCTTAGAAGCCCAAACACATTTTCTTGCTGTATTTATGTTGCATTCTCCACCTACAATGGGCAGTCATGAAGATGGTCTTCTCAGGACCACACAGCCACAGGACAGGGACAGTCCAGGGGCCTGAGAGGGAGCGTGAGGACGGGGGAGGAGGGGCTGCCATGGGCTGCTTCACGTTCGAGACACATTGTCGATCAAACGGCAGCACATGGTCTGCGCCTGTACTCCTCTTCATCATCTGGCGTAACGCTTGATGTAGTCGTCCACTTTGTTCCGGAAGTCCTCCTGTGCAGACAGGGCAGAGGAGCGTGAGTGGAGAGAAGGGGCCTGAGACAGGTCAGACCCAAGTGAAGGCCCTGTGTGGACAGTCTGGCCTTGGGCACCATGTGGCCAAATGACTGACAACCTGGCATTCTGAGCACCCTCCCCCCAAGTTGCTGTCTGCTGTTTGAGAGACACTGGGCTGGGGCACACACATGAGCAGCAGGCATTACGGGAGGGCACTTGGTCCATCCACTCTCTACAGATGGGCCAACATCACAGGCCAACACTCTCTAAACCACAAACAGGGACTCACTGCCCGCCCTTCACAGACACATAAGCCTGCCTCGGGGGGATCCACAGTGAGCAGAGCAGGTGGGCGTGCCATGGGCGCCAACCCCTGGCATCAAGCAGCCTCCGGCGATGACAAGCTCTGTGGACCCAGGATCACTCAGGCCACGGGGCAGGAATGCCCTCTCAGAGGTGGTGGTCACCTCAAGCTTGTCCTGGGTCTCTTGTCCCCGAGGGGCCAGAGCGTCCCCGAACTCTCCACCCTCCTGTGCCTACGCACAGTCGCTGGGTCCCTGTCCTCACTGCTCTACTGCTCTGGCCCATCAATGCTGCGCAGCTGCTCGAGGTGGGGGGCAAACCCGAGTGCCATGGTCCTTAGAGGGCACGTGCTCCAATTCTGCCACCCTTTCCACTGGGCAGCATGTGGGAGCAGCCTATGGGCAGCAGCCAGGTGGTGGGCTGGGCACCATGCTACCGCCTCTCCTGTGAGCTGTGCTGGGACCAAGATAAAGGAACCATCACCTATACTGGGTTCCCATCCTGAACTCTACTAGGAAATCACAGCAAGAACCTCCTCTCTGACCTTTGTTGGGGTTCATGCAGTGTGAAGAGTATTGTTCCACTGCAGGCAGAGCCACCTGAATGCAGCTCCACCTTCTTTTGCATGGACACTGGACCACCTGCCGGGGAATTCTAATCCATCCAGGCATTGTTTGCTACTGTGGGGCTGGCCTTTTGCTCAGTGTGAGCTTGGAGGTTAATGTTGGTGATAGCGTCTTGCAAAAGGACCTTCTGTTCCTACTGTCTTGGCTGTCCCCATTGACCTTATGCTAATCAAGGCACCTATATTTAGGCTTTCATTCTTTCCTTGATCTTTAAATTCTCTTTTTCTTTGTGATACAAGATTAAATTGTAGGGCCCAGTGGCTTGGCCTAGTGGCTTAAGTCCTCGCCTTGAACGCGCCCAGGATCCCATATGGGTGCCGGTTCTTATCCCGGCAGCTCCACTTCCCATCCAGCTCCCTGCTTGTGGCCTGGGAAAGTAGTTGAGGACGGCCCAAGGCTTTGGGACCTTGCACCTGCATGGGAGACCCGGAAGAAGTTCCTGGATCCTGGCTTCGGATCAGCATAGCATTGGCCTTTGCGCTCACTTGGGGAGTGAATCATCAGACGGAAGATCTTCCTCTCTATCTCTCCTCCTCTCTGTATATCTGACTTTCCAATAAATAAAAGTAAATCTTAAAAAAAAAAAAAGAAGTAGAGTGGCCTGGGCTTAACCTGGTGCTCTTATATTTAAAAAAAAAAAAAAAAACAAGATTAAGTTGTAGGATAAGAATTGTAGTAGGAACTTGAATTGTTTTTAGGTAAAACAAATGGCAGAATTATCCTTAGAAACACCCACTTGACCATGATGTAAACAGTCTGAACCAGAGTTTGACTGGTTCTGTATAACCAAAGCGGACAGCTTTTGTGCATTGTCCATTATGATCATGAAATCCTAGTGGTCCGTCTTTCTTTCCTCTTTGCGCCTCATCCACGCACCCTTCGCGGGTTCCGAACTCAGCTGGAGCTGGACTCCGGCAGACCTTGGGTTACACACCCATTTATTCCAACTCCTCATTTATAAATTGCTATGGATTCCAGACTCGCACCCCACCCCAACCCAGGAGCACCTGGAATAGCTCAACTCACCTTGTCTCGTAAGTGGTGTTCAGCTGCTTCAATATTCAGTGGATCATCAAAATTCAGAAGATCCTTAGAGAGAGAAACTCAAGGTAAACGGGTAAGAATCTGGTTTTCTGCTCAGAGCTCTTTGCTTGGCATATCAAACTGTGGGAGGCTTTCCCTTAGGCTGACGTGGGGGTCTCTCCCTGAGAACTCGGGGGCCTGTGGTGGGAGGGTGACATGGGGGTCTCTCCCTGAGAACTCGGGGGCCTGTGGTGGGAGGGTGACATGGGGGTCTCTCCCCAGGATGCTGAATGAAAGCTGGCTGCTTTAGGTTTGCTGGGGACAGAAAACAGCCACGACATTTATTTCTGATTTCCTGTTCTCAATCTGAAAGACACAGGGAGATCCCCCAGGCCTTAGTTTACTGCCCTGTCAGAGCCAGGGCTGGGCTAAGCCAGGAGCCTGGCACCCAAGCACTACACAATCACCTGAGACTTCCATGGTCCCCAGCAGCGGGAAGCTGGAACTGTGAGGAGTAGGGACTCGAGCACAGGCATTCCATACGGGAAGCGAGTGTCCCAGGCAGCTTAACTGGCATCAAACGCTTGCCCCTACAATGTTTTTGATCATTGGAGGACAAACATGAGGATTTTGAACTAAAAATTCCTTTTTTGTAAAATGTTTCTTCGTTTAGCTCATTGCATGATTGGCAGTTGTTCTGGGAGTCTGGCTGTCACTCTGACCTTCCAGGGTTTTTCTGTGTCTGTGGCCACCCTCACAGGCTGCCCACCCAGTCCAGCAGGGACAGTCATGGGGCCTGGGCACAGCTGAACAGACCCTGACTTCACCCTCCCCAGAAGGGCTGCCCATGCCTCTCAGCAGGGCCTGCACGGGCAGAGCCGCGGCTCCCAGCAATCCCCAGCTGACAGACCACTACAACCACAGTTCTCTCCAGATAGCTTCTATTGGCGACAATATTCCTGACTGGGAAATAGACATGGGAAATGACCAATAATGCATCATAAATAAAGCAAACTGTAAATCTGTGCGTGGATTCCTCCAGAAGAAGATGGCCACACAGCCAGGATTGATCCTACCACCTTCTCTATACCAGGTCACCAGTCAGAACCTGTTTCTGGCTGAGGCCCTGGGGCAGACAGCACAGGATCCAGAGGGGCCCAGTCAGGCAGGCAGCTGAGGCCAGTAACGGCAGCAGATCCTGTCAGGGCCTGCGACCAGCTCTGTGGCTTTCTCCGTCAAACAGAAGATGCAAGGCAGGTTTTAAGCAAAATTTTTCTTACTTCAATTAAAAAAATAAAGAAAAAGGAGCCACACTGACAGGACTAAGAGAAGACTAAAGGAGAATCCCTGGATGCCAGGAGGGTCAGCTTGGGTCCCTGGTGTTACCCTCCAGGGTCGGGGGATCCTGGGTACGAGGAGGGTCAGCTCAGGTCCCTGGTGCTCCCCTCCAGGGCCGGGGGACCCAGGGGCTCCCCTGCGTTATGGTGTCCACTCAGTATTGTCAGATGAGAGGGTAGAACTAGACAAGGACTGGCAGCTTAGTTTGGCCTCTGCCACTTTTTATTTTGCCAAAGCAGATAAAACAATACAGTACCCTCAGATGACGCCCTGGGGCAAGCAGGCACAGGACTGTGACTGCCCTACGCTAGCCTGGCTGTCATTGGTGACCTGTTCCAGAGGGGCTATTCATGGGACCTTAGGCTTTACCAAAAATGGCAAAAATAAATAAATAAATAAATAAATAAATAAATAAATATATATATATATATATTTTACCCATATGTTACCCACAGCCAGACTTCTGAAGATTCTTTCCTTAAAAACTATTATGGGAAACAAACAAACAATTATGGGAGCTAATGTGGTGGTACACAGGCTAATCCTCACCCTCTAGTGCTGGCATCCCATATGGGCACCATTTCATATCCTGGCTGCTCCATTTCCCATCCAGCTCCCTGTTTGTGGCAGGAGGACAGGCCAAAGCCCTGGGACCCTGCACCCACGTGGGAGACCCAGAAGAAGCTCCTGGCTCCTGGCTCTGGATTAGTTCAGTTCTGGTCCACTGCAGCCATCTGGGGAGTAAATCAGCAGAGGGAAGACCTTTCTCTTTCTCTCACGCTGTAAAAATCCGCCTTTCAAAATAAAGGTTAAAAATAAGTAAATTTTTTTTTAATCAAGGGTGTCCATCAGCCTGGAGCCTGATGCGGAACCCACTGCTGGCCACAATGCCAAGGTCAGAGTGCACGGGAAGCTCTAAGGCTGGATGGCCACGCCACACCACACAAACCAGGACACCGAGGAGACTGGCTGGTGAGAAACAGGCCAGTGCAATGCTTATTTCACCAAAGAGGCTAAAGCAGTGGACCCTGCCTGGGACCTGCGGTAGAGGCAGCCACCCCTCAACACTGCTCTGAAGCCCCCAGTCCCTGCCCTGCTATCCTTCTTCTCTTATTTATTTGGATGACACAGTTAGAGACAATTTTCCACTCACTGTTCACTCCCCAAATGGCCACAAAGGCCAAGGCTGGGCCAACACAAAGCCAGGAGCCTATTCTGAGTCTCCCACATGGGTTCAGGGGCTCCAGGTGGCGGGCCACCCTCCCCTGCTTTCACAAGCCACACGCAGGAGGCTGGATCAGAAGGGACAATCAGGACTCACACCAGTGTCCACACGGGGTGCTGGCAGCATAGGCGGTGGGTTTAACTTGCTCCGCCACAATGCCTGCCCCTCACTGTTTTGACCAAAGTGACAACCCAGTGAGGTAATCACATGTGTGTGCTCTGTGTTTAAATTCTTCTGAAGGTGATGTGTAAAATCTGCAGGATTCTGTAAAAGTAAACACTTAGGATTCTGACCAATATACTCACAGTAAATAAAGAGTTTAATCCCCAAACAACATCCTGAAATAAGAAAAAACAAAATTGTGTCAGGCTCCTGTGCACAAGTGTTTCAAGCAAGCACCACAGCATGTGAAACCCCTTCTTGCGGAGGTGCCGACTGCTCTGTGAGTGCAATCGCCAGCTCGGGAAGTACAGGGACAGGCAGTGGGTGTAGGGCGGGAGAGAACAGCTATTGCCCTCCCAGTGTGGGTGAGGCCTGGGTGGGCAGGGCTCCACCTGCTGTCACCATGTCACCCCAGGGTTCAAAGTCACCTTGAATCTATGACCCACAGCTCCACAGAATCTACATATTGCCGTCGCAGCTTCCTTAGGAATGAAGCGGCAGATGTCCATGACATACACCTGAGCATCTTCCTGTGCTGACCCGCCAGCTGTGCCTCAACCACAGGCTCTTCCTCATCAACCACGCTCGGGCCCACTCCGTGCTCCCTTTCAGCCACCACCCTCAGCCCCATCCCACACCCAGGGCTAGCACTCATGGTGTGGATGAGTGGCGGGCTGGGTATGTCTACGAGCCATGTCTCGGTAGCAGTGGCACCTCCAAGGGGAAGGACACCAAGGAGGCTGAGGCCTGAGAGGGCAGGATGGCGGGAGGGCTGGAGAGCGGACCAGGCCCCATGTCCATGGTGGCAGGGGAAGGTAGGCCACGGCCGCATGACGTGTGCACACTGCCCAACATGGCCCAGTGCCAACAGCTCCCTCCAAGATGTCCAACACTGGACATCCTCACCGGCCACGGGGGTAGACGTGCCCGTCTGCAACCACCTTTCCAATGTCCAGGACGGCTTAAAGCATCGCAGCTGAACAAAGACCCTGAGGCTTCCTGCATGGCGGAAGCTGAGCCACTGTGGCTCCGGAAGGTACCTGGCGATAACCAGGACTCTCACCCAAACAGAACCAACCAGGGTCACAGCTTGGCCCAGCAGCACTGGGAAGGGGCAGGGCGCTCAAGGGAGACGCCTGGGTCAGGGACTCACCAAATGCGCTGAGCCTACCTTTAATGTTCTCGTGGGAGCCCAGCCAGTGCCGTCAATCGAGTGTTCTCTCAGTAAACTGCAACAGACACAAGCAGAGCTCTCAGCATCAAAGGTGTACCTAGACCCGATGTGGACAGGTTGGCGGGGCTGTCATCCTCCCTGTGACCATAGGAGAGCCACTTGTCCATGACCGCCCTGCCATGGCACCTCAGTGCCCTGACTCCACCTTCAAGCTTACACACACACACCCTCCTTCCTGGCATCTAGTTACTGCACACAGAGCTCTTAGCCCTGCATGCAGGAGCTTTGTGTGTGTGTGACAACATGCTTAAAACAACACACAGAGTTTCTGTCATTAAAATGTTCAGAAAACAATGACAAGAGAACAGAGGCTTAGCACTCAGTGCGTGGGCCAGGCACGGTCCTCCGTGCTGCCAACACTGCCCCCAGCCGCCAGGAAGGCAGCACTATCAGCTCCCTGCCGAGCGACAGGCCTGCACTGGATCCTGGACTGGATGAGTTCCTGACACTGAAGCAAACTCCTAACAGGTGACATCTGTAGAAACTCAGCTTAAGGATCAAAGCAGATTAAGGCAGAGTTCTGCACAGCCATGCCAAGGCGGGCGGGTAGGAGGAGACCGCACGCAGGGCAGCTCCTGGGCTGCAGCTCCTGGGCTGCGGGCCGCGCTGGGGCTGTCCTGGCTGCCAACTGACTGCACCGCTCCCATGACAGTTCTAGCAACCATAAATGCACACTGTACTCCCGCACGCTTTCAAAACTGACGGCTTCCTTCTGGACATAAATATAGACTTTTACATATTATATTGTGGCTTCTATCTGTGGACACGTGAATATTGGGTATTATACGCCACAAGAATTGCTACCTGTGGCAAAGTTTTTCTGTAAGTTCAAATCCATGTCAATTTAGATATAGAATTTGATCAAAACTAATTCTAATTAATTGCCTATAGAAATCAACCAGAAAAAATACAACCATCCCTAAGCTTTTCTGAAAACAGAAAAGAAAACCGAAGCCATGCATCTCACTGAGTGGGCCTCCTCCTCCCCTACAAGTATCAGTGGCTTCTGATCTGCCAGTTCCACAGCTCCATGAGCTGCAGTGGGAGCCGTCTGTCCAGCCTGGCAGCTCCGAGGAGCCGGGCAACCTGCTTCTAGGATGGGGACATTTCTGCCCTGGCACACCCTCCTCATCCTGACAGCGCCAACTGTAGTTGGATACCTGCTTGCTGACTTGCCTGCTGCCCTTCTCACCTCCAGGATCCACTCTGCAGCAGCAGGGAGCATGTCCCGATGGACCAGGAGAATCAAGCAAGCTCAGGGGAGCCGACCTGTCCCTATGTCGGGTCAGCTGCTGTAGACGGAACAGCCAGAGCAGGGGGCTCTGCATCCTGAGGCAGGTGAGGGGGGCAAACATGGCCTGCCAGCAAAGTGGCCAGCAGGGGTGCCAAAATTGCAGCCTGGCCTCAACAGCAGGCAGTCAGAGGGAGTTCAGCTAACCACTGGCCACCAGATTACCAGGCAGGAGGCAGAGGGTCCGCCAGCATCAGCAGGCTGCAGAACAAGTGCTCAGTGCTGTGCCCACTCAGAAGGGACCAGGCAGCCCCCGAGGGATGACAAGCCAGAGCAAGCCTCTTCAAGAGGGAAGGGCTCCCGGGCACTGGGGATGGCCTGTACTTCCTGTGGAGCCCTGCGCCATTCAGTGCTGCCTGGCAGTCACCTCGCACGGCACAAGAGGCCAGCCAGGGACACAATGGACCAGCCGCACGGGAAGGCTCTGCCAGTCTGGCCAGTGTAAGTCAGACCTTGGGGTCTGGCCTCCTCGACTTCTCACTTACCTGAAGGAATTGTCCATCTTCTCCGTAACAGTTGGTGACTACTATTTACGGACCAAAGGTGCTAATTTCATTGATTCTTTCTTAGTTTTGTGGTTCCGTTTTTAAACTTTTAATTGGGACTTATCTGACACTATTTTCCTCTAAGGTTTCAAGCTTTTGCAGCAGGCTCTAATCTACGACTTCCTGTCTTCCTTTGCTAATAGTTTGATTGTTAAGATGGCAGCAAGATGACAACAGCAGTTCCTGCTCTGGGCCTACTTTTACCTGCAGGAGGGGTGGAGCAAGGAACAAGCCGAGGCAAGCTCCCCAGATGAGTCAGCCCAGCCTTGGGGGCACCAGCCACGCAAGCTCCCCAGAGGGGCCAGCCCAGCCTCGGGGGCACCAGGCAGGAGCGCTCAAGCCTGCAGATGAAGATGCAGTTTCACACCCCAGCACCAAGGAGACGCCTGTTAAGAGGTGGGGTCCAGCGAGGCTGGTCAGGACACCCACATCGCACACTGAAGTGCTCTGGGTCCAGCCCCCGACTGACGTAGGCCTGAGGAGGTAGCAGGCACGGCTCACGCGGCTGAGTCCCTGCCGCCCAGGAGGGAGACCTGACTCGGTTCTCAGCTCCCAGGTACAGCCCTGACGTACAGCAGATGGGCTCTCAAATGAACCAAGTACTTTCCAAAAAGATGACCCGATCCACTCGTAACTGAATGAGGTGACATGAAGGAGAGGAGCAACACTTGTAACACAGGTACTAACACACTACAAAAGGGGATCTCAATCTAGAATTTTGTTCTTATTTACTTATATTTTTGGAAGGCAGAGTGACAAAGAAACAGAGAGCTGGATGAAAACCAGCAGGGCCCAGCCCCTACAGGGGCCAGAGGACGCTCACTGCCTGGCCTGGAGAGGGCTAGGGGGTAAGCAGCAGGGCCCTGGCAGTAAGCAGCAGGGCCCTGGCAGCTGCTGAGTTCAGCCCCAACCCTTCCTCATGCTGGCCACATTTCTCAGTCTTCTTTGAGCAGCCTGTGCGAGGGTATGCAGGTCTCTCTCTCTCTCTCTCTCTCTCTCACACACACACACACACACACACACACACACACACACACACACACACAGAGCTCACCTGAGGCATATTTCCCCTGTTTCTGTGATGTTAGGGTGCCAGATCTTAGTCAAGCATTTCACTTTGGGAGGCTGCAACAGAAAGAGACAAGAGTCATGACAACAGTGCCTACAGCTCACACTGCACCCGCAGCCTCCCTGGACCCCTCCACAGTGTCTGCTGGGCCGTGATTACTGGGCCAGGCTCTGGTCTGCACACTGCACCCGCAACCTCCCCGGACCCCTCCACAGTGTCTGCTGGGCCGTGATTACTGGACCGTGCTCTAGTCTGCACGCTGCTTCCATCAGTTACTCAGCTCCACAGGCCTGTGTGTGCCCACATGGGATGGGGCAAGGCTGTCCATGAGCCGGCCTGCAAGTGCTGCAGCTGATGGTGCCTGGGCCCCCACCACCAGCCCAGCTGTAGGCTTAGTGTGAGTGCACAGTGCAACTGCATCCTCAGGTCCCACAGTCCAGCCAAGGCAACCACGTACACTGAACTGTGGCTGTGAGTTCCTGGCCATGGGCTGGATGCCGCTGTTACAGATACTGATGGGATGGAGAATGCAAACAAGAACACAGCAAAGTACAGCAACATCCTGTGTGAGTATACTCGTCTGGGTAAAGTTCTATTAGCATTCTCTATTGAAGCAACCCATATCCATCTGTGAGGAGACAATAAATAAATGGATATGTGCGGTGCACACATTAAATATGCACCTACACTACACAACAGATTTGATTATGTGTGAGCTGGGCAGCTATGCCTCCCCTCTCCCACTTCCCTTGTCTCGACAGGCACACATGGCGTGAGGCCCCTGGCCTGTGCCTGCATGTCTGTCTCTCTCTGCAGCAGAATGAGCCACTGTCTCCTGTTGATCTGTGACAGGCCTGCCCTCACTCTGCAGCACTGGCAACAGCAGCGACAGCCACTCCTCGCTGCTGGACCCTCTGCCAGTCACACGCCCTGCCACACTGTCCACTCTGACAGTCACACTCCCCGAATGCTGTCCACTGCGTTTAGCCCTGGGAGAGGGAGCCGCTGTCAGAACTCTGGCTTGGCTGACAAGGCCTGCCGGACTGAAGATGAACTGGCAGATGTTTACAGCCTCACAGGGATGAACCATCAGACGGGGGCAGCCTGTCAGTCGGCTGAGACTGAATCCTGTTTACATTTTCTGAGATCTAGATGATTTTTTTAAAAAACTTTGTAATAAAAATTTTTCTTTGACATCACACTTAAATGTCTCACCATGCAAACATTGCCAATACTTTTTCTAGTATTCTGCCATGTCATGTTTTAGCTGCTATGAAGACAGCACACTTAACACTCCAGTTTTCTTCCTGATTTCAAACCACCACAAAGTCCAATCTCCAGAGCTGCGCCTGCTGTGCCCTTGAAGACTGAACATCACCTGCAGGATCTCACGTGCTTTTCTGTAGACAAATGGCAATGTACTGGACAGAAGACCCAAGGCTGTGACCTTCACTCCAGTGCAGAGCCTGTGGGCACCGCCAGGAACCGTGGCCCCAACACCTCCACCGAGACAGCTGCGCCCCTCCCACGTCACCTCCATCACGGATTCATTACTTGTCAGTGGTACCAGAACACAGGCCAACGTGCCCACAAGCACAGGCTCAGAGTCAGGCCTGTACCTTCCTAAATCCCCCTGGGGTCCTGGTGCGCCCAACCACTCAACCTTGAAGCTTAGAGTTCAACAGCCTGCAACTGGGGCATGGGAGCCCAGGGCCTATTCAGTGGACCACAGGCTGCTTGCTGCGAGAACACAGATCTCCACACACAGCTCTGCCCAGACCAATACTGCTGACAGACAAGCCAAAGAGGCCTGGCGGGCGTGTGAAGACCCTGCTTTAAGCATTTTCCTCACATGAAAGGCATACTTAAAAAAAAAAAAAAAGGTTTGACTATAGCACTGAAAAAAAAAATTGGAGAACAACAAATAAGGCAAAATTCAAAACAAGGAAAATACAACATGGCTAAGAGCCTTTTGAGAAAAAAATTCATATGCTTTTAAAGAAAAATAACACACCCCAATGAGAAAAAGGGCAAAGGACACACTACACATAGCTAACAGGTAGGAACTATTTTTACTCCCACTTATTAAAGAAATGGAATTCCAAATAACACCCCACGGCTCACTTGGCCAGTGTACCCCCAGGGCGGAGGCCCACGCCCTTGCTGGCTGTCCTCATCATCCCCAGGAACCATCACCACTGACGTCACTGCCCTGGCCACCCCTGCAGCATCAGGTTCAAGGCTGGCATCCCACAGCTCACTGAAGGTCACTCAATACTTCAGCCTCCAGGACTCAGGAGAAAACATGAAGGAGGCTTCACTGAGAGCTGAAGCTCAGGAAGGGGAAGAACAAACCAAAAAAAAAAAGGGAAGTTTGGGATGGGAGCGTTACACAGTGGTGGGGGGCCATCAAAGACGTGTTTTCCTTTTAAAAGCTTGCTTGAAGAGAATGACCTACACTCCCGGTGTGCAGGTGTTCCTAGGCAGGCGTCTAGCAGTTAGGACGCCCACGCCCTGTACTGGAGGGCTTGGGTAGGACTCCTCATTCCAGCTTCCTGCCACCCAGCGAGACACGCGGGCTGTGTCTGCCTCCTGGCTTTAGGTCAGCCAAGTCCCAGCCCTGCAGGCATCCCGGGGCTGAGCCGGTGCTCGGGCTCTGGACAAATTAACAGAACGATTTTCAGACCCACAGTGTTCCTCAGAGAGCAGCACTGCAAACAGAGCGACTGTGACTCACAGGCATCACCACTCCGACGCGGCCCTGGCCAGCGCGGAGGGAAGCACGCACCCTCCACACTTGCTCCTGCAGCCTGTGTGTGCCCATGTGTGTGTTGAATTCCCCGCTCACCCTTCTGCACTGCCACTCTGCACACTGTTGTGAGCCACGCCCTGGAAACCCGACTCCTGCACAGCACCCTCCCAATCTGGGGAAAAGACGTGATGGGGGATTCTATCAGCAAAGACCGATGTCACACGGAAGTGCAAACAGTCGGTATGCAGCTAAGTCTGACATCCAACAAGCTCCCAGAGACTGCTTGCGTGGGCCACTCTGACACACGTGGGCCTGTCCCTAGCAAAGCTGCCTCCCATCCAAGGGCTAAGGGCCAACAGCATGGGGAGGGGGAGAAATGAGGACCTTTTAAAAACTGACTATTAGCAGAGGGCAGGAGACACAGATTATGAAGATGCCGACACAGACAGATGCCTGTACTAGCTGGGTCAAGGCTGGAAGCCGAGAACTCAGGCCGTGTCGCCCACGGGCTGGCAGGAAACCACCACTCTGAGGTGTCAGCTGCTGTCCACCAGCATCTGAATGGCAGGAAGCTGAAACTGAGCCAAGCTGGAACACGGAAGGGACACGAGGGGACAGAAGGGGACACGAGGGGACAGAAGGGGACAGAAGGGACATGAGGGGACAGAAGGGGACACGAGGGGACAGAAGGGGACACGAGGGGACAGAAGGGGACAGAAGGGACATGAGGGGACAGAAGGGGACAGAAGGGACATGAGGGGACATGAGGGGACACGAGGGGACAGAAGGGGACATGAGGGGACACGAGGGGACAGAAGGGGACAGAAGGGGACACGAGGGGACAGAAGGGGACACGAGGGGACACGAGGGGACAGAAGGGGACACGAGGGGACAGAAGGGGACAGAAGGGACACGAGGGGACAGAAGGGGACAGAAGGGGCATGAGGGGACATGAGGGGACACGAGGGGACAGAAGGGGACACGAGGGAACAGAAGGGGACAGAAGGGACACGAGGGGACAGAAGGGGACAGAAGGGGCATGAGGGGACATGAGGGGACACGAGGGGACAGAAGGGGCACGAGGGGACATGAGGGGACACGAGGGGACAGAAGGGGACAGAAGGGGACACGATGGGACAGAAGGGGACACGATGGGACAGAAGGGGACAGAAGGGGACATGAAGGGACAGAAGGGGACACCAGGGGACACGAGGGGACACGAGGGGACAGAAGGGACACGAGGGGACAGAAGGGGACACGAGGGGACAGAAGGGGACACGAGGGGACATGAGGGGACACGAGGGGACAGAAGGGGACAGAAGGGGACAGAGCAGGGTAGGAATGAGGTCCAACCTAGAGACACCACCCACACGTCTGCATGTGGCACCAACTGGCACCAGCAATTCACCACTCGGGTGCGTTTCTACCTTCAGCCTCTGAACGCTGACACCGAGGGAGGACGAGGACATCGCGGAGGTGCCAGCACCCGCGCCCGCCCTGGCTGTGCTCTCTGCCCGTCGTGAACCAGCCTCACGCCGGCCAGCTCACACCTCAGTGGGTCCTCGCCCTTCGCTGCTAACATGCCACTCCCTGAGCCGGGGAGATGCAGGATGACAGACCCCGGACGCCAGCTCCGCAGGCCCTCCCGCATCGCGCCCTGCGTCCGGCAGCAGGCAGCGTTCCGACCTCAGTTCTCCCCGTCCGTCAGCCGACACACGTGGGCAGACTGAAATGTCTATTTCTTGCCTTTGCTTAAGAGCTGAACTTCTTCTTGGGTCACTAACTCTTCCCCACCACATAAATTACATTTCAGAAGCAACTGGTAACGTGAGGCTCATAGTTAAAGGTCTGCCTTCGTACCAAGTCCAGGTGCAGACACGCAGCGTGCCTGTGTGCTGTGGGGACACAGCCCCAGCAAGGTGCCCAGGCCTGGCCACACGCTTTCCTGAGGCACAGCCACAGTCCAAACAGCCCACTCACGTGAGTGGAGTGGTTGACTCCTCCTTGGCTTCTCACTGCCCAGCAGGACCCCCACCTGACCCCACTTTTCACTCATCACCCTGGTCTGTGCCTCCCACAGGTCGCAAGTTCTCACCTCCACACCAGAAGCATAGTTCCACCCCTCTCTCGTCCCATCTCCTAGAACACCCCTGGTTCTGGGCCAAAATAAAGCAAAACCAGGCGTGCCGGGCGCTGACCTGGCCCCGTCACCTCCCGGCAGTGACCGCCTCTGCCCTGGCCTTGCCGTGTTGGTTTCCTGTCATTACGTTACTTCCCTACCAAAACGACATATGCTGCCAAGAATGACATCGATATAGGAGTACTAGGCACATGGGCGGCCACCGGGTTCTGTGGCAGCAGCATGGCCAGTCCCGGGCACCCGTCGAGGAGGGTCATGAGGTGCCAATGCAGGCTACTCACCACCATGTTGTACGCATCAGGAACTTCAGTTTCAAACTGGAATTTTCCACCCTGGTAGTAACCCTCATCTATCAAAAACACAAAACAAAGCAAAAATAATTCTTTAAATAAATTTTAAAAAAGAAAACAAAAGCAAATACTATGTTAGGGTATAGCAAAGACACTCCCTTGGCACACTAGAGAGTCCCACGCCCACCACAGACAGAATGGCTTCAGTCTTGTCCCCGCCTGTCGCCTGCCATCAGGGAGGGGCTCAGGCCCATGGGAAGGCCGGCTAGCTCCCTCCAGGGCACGGGAACCAAGAGCCCACTCTGCTGGGCACATCAGCACTCCCTCCTAATGCAGCTCAGGCCTTGATGATCGCTGCTGCTCTCCGTGAGGCAGTCACCACAGAGGAGGGACTTCTAGTGACAGAGCTGCCAGGCATGGCTCCACGCCCTGGAGACATCGCAGACAACACCACAGACACCATCGCCAACGGAAATGGGGCATGCCGCCCCAAGGGCCCTGCCTGCACAGCCTGGCCTCAGGAACGCGGTTACTGTGGCTGCCAGCAGGGGGCACTCCAGCAAGAAGGAACCAACTTACTGCAGAATTGTAAATTCGATAGGTAGCAATCTTGAAGTTACCATTTGATTCCTCCGCCCCTACTTACTGCTCTAAACAAATCAGAAATATTAACTATAACTCCCCTCAACTCTACATAAAATGGGAAATATCAAGTCCGCCTTAAAGAGATCATTACTAAACAAGCTGTATTTCTACTATAGGATTCTTGAGACTACACCATCATTTGCGTTTCACTCAGTAATTAAAGTTGGGATTACCTGGACCATAATACTGTGTTCATTTCCAATTTAACAGTATAGAAATATCATTTATTTTCAACACGAAAACAAACTTTTAAAAAAGCCCTGGAGGCCCCCAACAGCCAGGTCTCCCACAGGGGCAGCAGACACTAGTTCCTGGACCCTGCCCAACGCCCCTTCGTCTGCACCCACATGAGTGCAGGGTCCCCAAGGCTTTGAGCCATCCTTTACTGCTTTCCCAGGCCGCAAGCAGGGAGCTGCATGGGAAGTGGAGCAGCTGGGACAGGACCCGGGGCCCATAGAGAATGTTGGACATGCAAGGCAAGGACTTCAGCCACGAGGTTACCGTATCAGGCTCCAGAAAAAAAAATTTAAATAACAGTTAAGTGGACCAGGCGCGGTGGGCTGGTCTACAGGGAAGTTCATCAGCAAGCTGCAAAACAGCTACTAGGCCTGAAGGCAGGACGCAAGCCGCCATCCCGACACCAACGAGAGTTCCACTGCTGGAAAACGGAATATCAGCCACACTCACCCACCACAAGATGCAAAATTTAAGACCACAATTCTCGCAAAATTCATCCGCATGGCTTCAGTGCAATGCTGTCAAACGCTCAGCAGGCTTGGGGCAGAGGGTGTATAGGCTGATTCTAAAACACGTAGGGAAAGGCAGAGGATCAAGAGTAGCCAAAGTAGTTTTTGAAAAGGTAGAACAAAGTTGAAGGAGTCAGAAGTCCTCTAATAGGATTTCACGGTTTACTAAGGTGCCACACGGACCAAGACAGTGTCATCTGAGTAAGCACAGACATAAACCACAGCAAGGGTCCAGAAACAGACCTTCCCACACAGAGTCAGGCAGAGTCCCAAAGGGCCAAGGTCAGCCAATGGGAAAAGACAACCAAATACAGGGAGAGACCAGACCCACTTCACACGCAACGTCAGCTCAAAATGTACCACAGACCTAACTGCAGACCTAAAGCTACGGGACGGAACTTTGCATTTCTTTTTTCTTTTTTTTTTTTTTTAAGATTTATTTATTTTTACTGCAAAGTCAGACATGTACATTGAGGAGGAGAGACAGAGAGAAATATCTTCCGTCCAATGATTCACGCCCCAAGTGACCCCAACAGCTGGTGCTGCGCTGATGCAAAGCCAGGAGCTCAGATCCTCCAGGTCTCCCATGCAGGTGCAGGGTCCAAGGCTTTGGGCCGTTCTCGACTGCTGTCCCAAGCCACAGGCAGGGAGCTGGATGGAAAGTGGGGCTGCCAGGATTAGAACTGGCACCCATATGGGATCCTGGCATGTTCAAGGGGAGGACTTGAGCTGCTAGGCCACCACGCCACATCCCTCCCTTTTTTAAAGATGTATTTATTTGTATTGCAAAGTCAGATATGCAGAGAAGAGGAGAGGAGCCAGGAGCTTCCTCCAGGTCTCCCACATGGGTGCAGGGTCCCAAGGCTGCTGCTTTCCCAGGCCACAAGCAGTGAGCTGGATGGGAAGTGGAGCAGCTGGGACACGACCCAGGGCCCACCTAGGATGCTGCTGCTTGCAAGGTGAGGATTTGGCCACTGAGGCATCACGCGGCTCAGTTTCCTCTCGGTTCACAGACCAGAAGGCTCAGGCTGTTGTCATTTGTCATTTCTCCCCCCGGAGACACCTGGGGGGTCAACACAGCGTCAGTCAGACCCCAACAGCCCCTTTCATAGAATGTTATGGGAGTCAATGAGCCTGGAGTGTCGGAAACAACTTTTAACATGGGAATTCTTTGGTTACACATCCCAAGTACACGCCTTAAAAGCCACAACAATTAACTTTGGCACAAGAGTAAACAGAAATCCCTCTAACAGCGCAGAGTCCAGACAGCTCTACTTGCCTGCACACACAGCAACGCATTTCTGACCAAGGTTCAAGGTAGTTCAGTGAAGAAAGGTTTTTTTTTTTCTTTAAACAAATTTTGGAACAGCTGAGTATTACCCCATAGATCAGAGAAAACTCAACCTGTGGGGTGACCGCTGCCATTCCTGTGCCAGGCCGGTCGAGGAGTGAGGTGTGGCACGTGGGGACCTGACAGCTCACCTCTCGGCAGGTGCAGCGAACCCAGGGATTTCCTCATGTGCTTGGTTCTGGGTGAGGGGAAGGTTTCAGGTCAGCATGTTGCCTGGTGTGCTGGTGCACCAGGCCCCGAGATCCGGAGGGTGTGCAGGGATAAAGCACCAGGCCAGCACATGCCAGGAACCTGGGACTCTGGTGGGCAGGCAGAGCTCCGGACTGGCACACCATCCGCTGGGCTTTCAAAGACTGGGCTGAAGAACCCATGTGCTCCCGGGCACAAGGACTGTCCACTTATTAGGGAAAGGGGCAATGGGATACGGGGGAGGGAGGACCACCATGGGAGTGTGCTGCCGGTGAGCAACAACTCCTGACAGGGCTGCTGTCCCTGAGGTAAGCAAGGGATGAGACCTGGTGGTTTGGAGGGTCAGACAAATGCACCAGCCCACAGAGGAGTTCTGAGCTGGGCTTGTTAGCGTGGAATACTGCTGACTACCACACGCCAGCCCACGGGAAACTAGCGCTGGGGGACATAGGAACAGGGAATGGGTCACATTAGGCTGGACCATGACAGTAACCAGCACACAAGAGAACCAAGTTTGGGTGTAGATTCTGTGGGGATATGTGGGCCTAACCCTGTGGAATCACAAGTCCCGCTGGTTAGCTTAAGAGTTGGGGTGGCCAGGGCCCGGCGCGGTGGCGCAAGTGGTTAAAGGTCCTCGCCTTGCACGCCCGGGATCCCATATGGGCGCCGGTTCTAATCCCGGCAGCCCCGCTTCCCTTCCAGCTCCCTGCCTGTGGCCTGGGAAAGCAGTCGAGGACGGCCCAAGGCTTTGGGAACCTGCACCCGCGTGGGAGACCCGGAAGAGGCTCCTGGCTTCGGATCGGCATAGTATCGGCCCGTTGCGCTCACTTGGGGAGTGAATCATGGGACGGAAGATCTTCCTCTCTGTCTCTCCTCTCTGTATATCCGCCTTTCCAATGAAAAAATAATAAAAATAAATCTTTAAAAAAAAAAAAGAGTTGGGGTGGTGGGCCCAACGCATTGGCCTAGCAGCTAAAATCCTTGCCTTGAACACACGAGGATCCCATATGGGCACTGGCTCTAATCCCGGCAGCTCCGCTTCCCCTCCAGCTCCCTGCTTGTGGCCTGGGAGAGCAGGTGAGGACGGCCCAAAGCCCTGGGACCCTGCACCTATATGGGAGACCTGGCGGAAGTTCCTGGCTCCTGGCTTTAGATCGGCACATCACCGGCCCTTGTCGTCATTTGAGGAGTGAATCATTGGATGGAAGATATTCCCCGTCTCTCTTCCTCAACGTACATGCCCGACTTTGCAATAAAAATAAATAAATCTAAAAAAAAAAAAAGAAAAGAGAAAAAAAAAGAAAAAAGAGTTGGGCTGCTGATGCGCTGAGCCAGGCATGACCATGGAACCCTTCAACAGTCATAGGTGCTGGGGCTGGAAACAGCTGGGCAGGTCCAGGCTGCAGCACCTGCATGGGCACCCTAAAACAAGGCATGGGGAAGGCCAAGCCACAACATCCACCGGGGCATACAAAGGCCAGGACGGAGGGTGCAGGTTATGCCAAGTAGGGGCCCAGCACCCGCTGGCATACGTGAGATTTGCGTCTGGGAGTGGGCTTGGTGGGAGAACTTGGGAAACTCCCCTAGTGGGTCATAGCTCCCACTGGTGAGCATGTGGTTCAGGCCTAGGTGTTGGGCAAATGAGCAAGGTAGCTCCACCCACTGGAAAGTGTGTGTATTGGTTTTGGAAGGGGGCAGACCTGGCAGGGCTGAACCTTAGCCCGTTGGCAAGCACACAAGTCAGGCTAGAGTGCGGGTCATGCCAGACTAGGCTGCCACACCTGCTGGTGTACATGAGCCAGGGATGGGAGAAGACTGAGCAGGGCTAGGTTGTAGCACCTGCCAGTGAAGAGTTGGAACTAGGGGTTGGCCGGGGCAGGCCAGCTATAGCATGAAGTTGAAGGCCACAGGTGAGGGGCTATGTCAAGCTGGGTCAGAGCAACCACTGGCACATGTGAGATCTGCGGCTGGGAACAGACCTGGTTGGGGAGCTAAGGGGACGTCCTGGTTGGGTTGTGGCTCCACTGGTGAGTGCGAGGGCTGGAGTGAGTACAGCAATCTGATCTGGACACAGCTGCAGTGTTCCTCAGCCCAGGTGTGGACTGGGTCTGGGGTGTGCAGGACTGGACTAGACTTCAGTACCCACTGGTGCCTGTGAGAACCAGGGTAGATGTACTATGGGATAGGCTAGGTCTCTGCCCCTGCTGAGCCAAGTGTGAGCTGTGTCTGGGTGGGACCAGGATAGGCTGGGCTGTAACACTCAACAGTGTGAACTAGAATGGGTGAGGGCTAGTCAGGAAAAGCCCGTGTTCCTGCTAGGACAGGAGGTGGACTAAGTCGGGCTGGGCCACTGGCCAACATGCACAAGATCTGGCATCGGAGAGGTTCTGATGCAGGAGCCTGGGCAACTCCTCTGGGATCACTTCAGATGCGGTTTCTTTGAGGATCCCTCCAACTGAACCATTGAACTCAGAACTCCAACCATAAAGAGAAATGCAGGTTCCCTGGTTTAACGTGGAGTGCATGTGTCAGAGCCGGGCCTCCTCAGTGGTTGAGACGGAGCACTGGGCAGCTTATCCAGGTGCACATGGGCGATATGGCAGTACAATGGAGTCTGCAGAGGACACCTGGCAACACAACAGAGGATGCAGGACAGAACATATGGGTCAACTACCCCGGCCTAGTGTTGGCATTGAATACCTGGGCAAATGGAGACTCTAAGGTGGACTAGAGACTAATCAACCAGTGGATTCTGGAGAGATTTCATCATACTTGGAGTGGTGACATTGGCAGTAATTCAGAATTGTTGAACTATCAAAACCACTTGAGCAGGACCCTCGGAGCATGCCCCATGTTGGGGACCCTGGGGTGGCGTTGGGTGGCTGTCCCCCAATCCAGGGTACAGAGGCGGTTGTGAGGCTGTGTGTAGCTTCTCCCCTTATAAACACAGCTGAAAATCTCCTAAAAGTTACCGTCTTTCCTGACTTAGGAACTCCACACTTGAGGAAAGGGAAATAATATGGCATAAAACCGTTGTGTGTGAATATGCAAACCCAGCAAGAATCCAAATGTCACCAAGAGGAAAATAAACTATAGCATATTTATGCAAAGAATAAAAGGGGTAGAAAACCATGATACAAATTAACAGATGTGAATTAAAAACTTGTAAAAGAAAGAGGTAGACTAATGGATGTCTATATAATCTTTCAATTCTGTTTCCGTGGACTTCCTGAAATATCTTTGTAATATTCTACTTACACGAGATTCAATCATGAATAGAACTAATTTATAGCAATCGAGGAGAAATGAGTTTTGGGTGAGGTGAGAGTGGCAGAGGAGCTGGCTCTAAGAGGCAGGAGACACTGCTGGCTGGTGGAGCGAGCAGTGGTCACCCAAGGGCACAGCTTTTCAAAACACCTGTAGCCGTTCTAACTGGTGCAGTAAAACACCTCACTGTATTTTAAAAGATTTAAGTCTGTTCTGCTCCCCATCACCAAATTACTTTCCCAAGCATGAAGGATCATCAAACACCATCGGGACCATCACTCAGTGCAGGTGGCAACCAGAATGAGCTCTGAGCCACAAACACGGATGCAGCTTCCCCACGCCGCACCCCAATGCCAGCACGCTTGGACTAAGGCTTCAGAGCAAGTCCAGTTGGGCTGCAGGCAAGGCAGGAAGCACCCCAGCTTTCCCCTCACAGGCCCCACAAATCAGGCTGAGCTAGCTACCTTTTCATGACAATAATGTTCCCAAGTTCACTTACTACAAATACAAACACTTGGTTATTAAGTAGTACCAACACAACAAACACAAGTTACTTTTTAATCTGAAGAAGAGTGAATACTTAAATTGTAACAAGTATGCTCCATTTCCAAGAAGGATGTGAAAGACGTGGCATATACAACCGTAGCAGCTATAACATTATGTGATGTATCATTTATCAGGGAGTGGACTGGACAGTAAGAGGCCTGGAAGCCAAGGTCTGTGAGTGCCAAGGTTCCCAGAGTTCATGCTGGACACTGGGTGGAGCGACAGAAGCCCTGGCCCTGGGGAATGCTCTCAGCAGGTGCAGTGACTTGGCACACTGAACCGCTCTTGATTCACGCAAGTAGCAGCCAGTACAGGATGGATCACCAAGGAGACATGCCAGCGTGCCCAGAACCTGCTGCGGGTTCTGGTCAGCGGTCAGGACATGCATCACCTTCCCTCACCGCCCTGACTTCACAGGACAGGCCTCTTCCCAAGAGGCCGAGTGTAACCACCTTCCTGTCCTCTCTTCATCTCAGAAGGATTGGTACCCAACTGAGTTCATATTGTGTCCTTGACTCCGTGACAAATTTTTATTTTAAGTTTTTAAGCACATCTAACAGTGGGCTTTCCCTTGATTTCTTTTTAACACATTTTCCTCAGAAAAACACACCTTACCCCAGGACGGGCAGGCCAGGACTCAGCCACTGTCTCAGTGTCCCTGACCAAATGTCTGCATTCTTTATTTCTCAGGTAGCTGTGACAAGGCTCTCAGTGTCTCACTCATGACGCTCCCTCCTGGTTCATCTCACCACCCATCTCCCTCCCTACCATGCCACCCAGCACTCACTTTGCAGGATCAGCGCCAGTGGGCTGGCAGTGTGCCCGTGAGTCACTCTCAGAGCTGCAGCATTAGGAAGGGGTACCTCCATGCCTCTTGCTGCCCAGCCTAACCCAGAACGTGCAGTGATCTGCAGATGGCACTCTGGAGTACCAAGGACAGCCGGCAACAAGACCATAGGCTAAGTACTAAGTACTGACTCCATCCTTGCCACTCTCCCGAGGGGGCTGGGCACCAGCTCCACTGTGTGCAGGCAGGCTGCTGCTGAGAGGTCTGGCAATCTGACCAAGGGCACACAGGGGGCATTCGTCACGGTACGTGCATGGTTTCAGCTTCTGTTTCTATGTGCTTACTGACATACACACCGCTGGGAGGTCCGTCTCTATGTGTTACTGACATGTACACGCCGGGAGGTCCGTCTCTATGTGTTACTGACATGTACACGCCGGGAGGTCCGTCTCTGTGTGTTACTCACATGTACACGCCGGGAGGTCCGTCTCTATGTGTTACTGACATGTACACGCCGGGAGGTCCGTCTCTGTGTGTTACTCACATGTACAAGCTGCGAGGTCCGTCTCTATGTGTTACTGACATGTACACGCCGGGAGGTCCGTCTCTATGTGTTACTGACATGTACACGCTGGGAGGTCCGTCTCTATGTGTTACTCACATGTCCACGCTGGGAGGTCCGTCTCTATGTGCTTACTGACATATAAACCGAAGGCCTTAAGATTACCTTACTCTGTTTTCCTAAAGCTACAGAGCTTTACATGGAGTGATTACTCATATTAATGTCCAACTTTTTTAAAAGCTAGAGAACAAATCAAGCAGAAGATCACAGTTTTGGGTAGCCTTTAGAGTTGGTGTGAAGTCAGCGTATTACCTGGGGTGACAGTGAGCTGGAAGCAGTGCAGCTTGTTCGGGTCAGGAAAATGCACTTTACACGTACCTACAAAAGAGACAGCACATCAGGAGGGCAGGGCCCTGCCAGCGGTCCCCACGAGGAGCTCACCCCGGCCCACACACAAAGGACTCAGATGGCCCATGGACTCAGGCAGCTGATGACAACCTGCTAAGCGGCCACTATGTGCTTTCCTCATTCTCTTCCACACTGAGCTGTCTCTAGCTCACTCCACATGCACATGCTTTCCTTCAATAGTCACCACAAAGATCTTTCGTTAACTCAACCACTGAGCTACTTAACCATGCCTGCACAGCTCAAGACTGGTGTATGTGGACAGGCTGACTGAACACAGGGAGCCCAGGACGACTCCCCGTCTGTCCTCCGAGCATGGAGACACAGCCTAACCCGTGCCCACCATGGCAAAGGGGAGGCGCCCACCTGGAGCTCCCTGGAATTCAACATCGCCACACCTTCCTGGCACCTCAACGTGCCCTGCTGGTGCTCACAGACTGCAGGGCACACAGCTCAGAGCCTCTGGCAGCCAGTGTGTGCAGGAAGGCTGCTTCCTTTACGCAAATGGCACCAAGAGTGGGAACCACTCAGGGAACAAGGAATCTGAGTGGAAATGCATGCAACTCCTCTGCATTGACCTATAATCTCGGACAATAAGCAGAGCACCTCGGTTACCTAGTGATGTAATGCCTTTCACACTTGCTTTATAATTCTGTAACATGAACTTGCACACTTAGATTCAGAAGTCGCCTTAAGACCATGTGGCCAGGGCCCGGCGCTGTGGCGCAAGTGGTTAAAGGTCCTCGCCTTGCACGCCTGGGATCCCATATGGGCGCCGGTTCTAATCCTGGCAGCCCCGTTTCCCTTCCAGCTCCCTGCCTGTGGCCTGGGAAAACAGTCGAGGACGGCCCAAAGCTTTGGGAACCTGCACCCGCGTGGGAGACCCGGAAGAGGCTCCTGGCTTCGGATCGGCATAGTATCGGCCCGTTGCGCTCACTTGGGGAGTGAATCATCGGACGGAAGATCTTCCTCTCTGTCTCTCCTCTCTGTATATCCGCCTTTCCAATGAAAAAATAATAAAAATAAATCTTAAAAAAAAAAAAAAAAAAAGACCATGTGGCCCAACACTCTCAGCCAGGACAACAGAAAGGTCCAGGGAGGCTTGATGGCCAGCTCAAGGTCACAAACCAACACAAGGAACATTTCCAAAGAAGGAACTACATCACAACCCCTTCCACTGCTGAGGTCTCATTTCCTTCTCAGTGCTTGTGGGCCCCTGAGAATGACACCCCAAGACAAAGGCCGCTCACTCTGTGTATGAGATCCTGCATGATTGCTGTTAGTGACACCCAGAGTTCAGGCCCGCTTCACCCCAGAAATACTGATGAGACTGTTTAAACAATTTTCCTTGACCTGTTAAAATAATTGACTAAATTATTAAATTATTAATAATTATTATTAATAGCTATTAATAATTATTAAATTATTATTATGGTTAAATATGCATCTTATTTAAGAGGAGGAAGGGTTTTTTTTTTGGTAATTTGGTCAGTGATATCTTGTGTATGTTAATGTTTAAAAGAACTGGTCACTTTCTTTGAAAGGCACAGCAACGAGGGTAGGGGTGGGATGTAGACAGAATGAGAGGTCTTCCATCCGCTGCATCACTCCCTAAACTGGGGCCGGGGTCAGGACTCGCCCAGCCCAAAGCCAGAAGGAGGAGCCCCAGTGGGGTCCCCCATGGGGCCAAGCTTTAGCTGCTTCCCAGCTATAGGGGGCTGGACTACAAGTGGAGCTCGAAGCAGAGCTCCACAGAGCCCCCTGCAGTGTTTACTTGTTAATAGTGAGCGAGAGCTCAGGCTACAGGTGGTTCCACACCTGCGGGATGCCCAAGGGAAGCCCTTGGCCCTGCTTGGCCCAGTCCCAAGCACTGCAGCTAGGGAGTCAACTGGCAGTCTTTCCTTTCACCTTCTGACTTTCAAATAAATAAACAAACAAACTTTGGCAGGGGGCGGGGAAAAGTGGCCATAGTCCTTACTCAAAAAAAAAATATATATATATATGGCTAAGGGACCTGCGTCCTGTGTTGGTCTGCCTGGACTCAGTGGAATGCAGACCCTAAGAGGCAGCGGTCACAGCACAGCTGGCCATGCTCCCAAGGGAGAGCCAGCAGGTAAAGGCTCAGGCTCGCTTCCTCTCCAACTGATCAATGCAGAGGAGAAAGCTGGTACCAGAGTCCAAGCCCCTCCCCCAAGTCACACATTCAGAACCGCACAGGGGACACCTAGAACACGCCTCATTTGGGGCCCGTTATGGAACAGCTGGTCAAGCTCAGTCCCACGGCTCTTCCCCTGATCCAGCTCCCTACTAATGCGCCAGGGAAAGCAGCAGAAGATGGCTCCGTTCCCCACAGGGGAGACCCAGCTGGAACTCTGGCTCTGCCTGGCCCGGCCCTGGTTGGTGTGGCCATCTGGGGGCTGAACCAACAAATGGAAGATCTCTGTCTCTTCTATCATCCTGTCTTTCAAATATATATGTGCGCGTATACACACGATTTTTAAAATCTTTTCCCCTATCTTAACCTGAAAGGATAAAAGCATCTGAAATGTAAGTAACAAGAGCATCTAACTAGGGTTAGGTAAATGGTTTAGGTATCGGCTGAGGTGTGAACCCACCATCAACAGCACAGACATAGAAACCATCTCCTCTAATCAGGAATGAAGAAATCACCAAGGTGGATTCAGAACTGTAAAACTACTAAAGAAAATAAAAATTGTAAAGCTCAAGACAAGGTTAAGCTTCAAAAAGGCAAAAGGTTAAAAGTGAGATTTGTTTTAGCTTCATTAAAACTCAAGAATAAGGTTTTTCTCTGTACAAGGTAGGCCAGGACTCAGGAGAATCAGCGCTCCAGCTGTGAGCACGCAGGCAGTGTTTCAGACCACCCACCACGCACAGTGAAGGTCTGCCCGGGCGTCGCCTGCCTCCTCTCCAGAATACTGCACTTCATCCTTGCTGGGTGGGGTGGACGGGAGCCGTGTATGCGCCATGCAGGAATGTGCAGGGGGCAGCGGGAAGGAAGGACGCAGGCAGCACACACTGCTTCTAACTAACACCTTGGCTATCAGGTTCAAGGTGAACCATCCTGGTCTGAAAGCCAATCATGAGATGTCTGCATCTAAACTAGGCTCTAGGAGTTAAACCCAACCGTCTGATAGGGTTCATCTTTAAAAACATCGCGAATGGGGCTCAAGCAGGGGCATAGCAAGTCACTCCTCGGCCTCCGGTGTCTGCATCCTATATGGACACTGGCTCTGGTCCCGATACTCCACTTCTGATTCCTCTCCCTGCTGATACTCCTGGGAAAGCAGTGGAGGATGGCTCAGGTCCTCGGGCTCCTGCACCAACATAGTAGATCCTAAGAGGCTCCAGGCTCCCAGCTTCAGACCTACCTAGGTCTGACTTGGGGTGTGAGCCAGCAGATGAAAGATCTCTCTCTCTTTTGCTCTCTCTCAGTAAATCTGATTTTCAAGTAACATAAATATTTTTAAAAAGAACAGAATGAATCATTTGTTGGGGGAATTTATCTGTGGCTTGCAGGTGAACACACATTCAACGCAGAGGCCCACGGTGAGGTCCCAGGGAGCGGGAGGTAGAAGTTTACTTCTGTTTCCTAAGAGCAGAGCATCTTAGCACACATGGACGCAGGTGGATGCAGGCAGACCAAGGGGACAAGCATCACACAGCAGTGCGTCCACCCTGCCTCACCTCCGTTTCCCTTGAGCATTTTGAAACAAATCACTTCATCTATAAATACTTCAGCACATCAAGACAATCTTTAAATAGAGTCCCAAGGCATCACACTTAGTTTTGAGTTGAAGAAAACTGAGGTCAAACCATCCATGTTTTAACTGAGACTCAGAGTAAGAAATGTACTCTCTGTCATAAATGCACACTACATGGTGGACCACATACAGCTGATTCCACTATGAGGGTTGGGAACGCAGGCTTAGGGGGCCACGGGCAAAGTCAGCTGGGCCTCCAAGACAGCCAGTCCTCTGGGACATCCACCCAAAGGGGCCACAGGCAGGGTCCCTCTCAGCCCTGTCCTCTGGAGTGTCCCCCCAAGAGCAGGAGACTCGGCAGGCGCCCCCTGCCAACAGGGCCTGGAACCTCCGACCAGTTTCAGATCCAGCATAGGGGTAACAAAGCTGACATGAGAACGAATTAGAATGGCCACAACTTTCAGATTGTTATGGTCCTAAGAAATATAAAGGACTTGGAAAGAAAGAATGATTCACAAATAAGAAAATGCATCATATCCCACACGCATGTGCAGCCTGGTAATCTGCATCGGTGTGTCAGGCCCAAGCACAGCGCTGCCTGCTGACGTCAAGGCCGCGCGGCCAGCCCACCTCCAACACAAATGACAGAAAACACCTTCTAGAGCAAAAACGTAGCACCACTAACAGAAACAGGACTGCCCACTACCACGTCCTAGCCTGGCACTCCAGGAGGACGTGGCACGGGACCCATGTGGACAACACACAAGATCGAGCTGGGTGGGTCTCGGCTACCCGGGGAGGGTGTCCTGCATACGCTGCACACACCATGGCTTCAGCCCCTTAAGTGCCCTGGACTGCGCCCCTAGCACACACAACAACAGGGATGTTCCTTCTTTCCCTTGCCTTTTTTTTTTTTTGCCACACAAGGTGATTAAAACAAGTTTCTTTGTGTAATTCTTCCATAGTACTTGGCGTTCAATTGGGATGCTATACTTACAGGGTAAATTAGCTTCAAGTTCTGCAACCTCTGTAGAAACAAAGAGATTATTGTTAATATTAATCAATTACTCCATATAAAGTCACTAGCTCTAACTTAGCAATTTTCTCTAGAACACAGAAGAAAGAAAATAAACTGTTTGAACTGCAACTTGGTCTACATTTTAAACACTTGGCCAATTTAGTAGACTTCACGTACAAAAAGTGACTTACACCAAGCCAGCCAATTCAGGCAAAGGTCCTCGAGTGTTCCCTTCCATGTCACCACAATCATTCAAGTCAACACAGAAACTACTCATAGGTGAAGTCTTCTCATGCCGCTGGCATCCCGGTCACTGCCCTTCCCACGCACCTGCCACAGCACCAGGGGACGGCCCACGCACTGGGAGCCCTCCACTCACGTGGGAGCCCAGAAGAAGCTCCTGGCTTCTGGCTTTGCCTGGTGCAGCCCAGACTACTGCAGCCCTGCGGGGAGTGGATCAGTGAGCGGGACATCTGTTTCTATCTCTCGTTTTCTCTTTGTAACTCAGACTTCTGAATAAGTAAATCTTCCTTTAAAAAATAAAATATTTCAGAATAAATTTAACTAATTTAACACTGAAAATGAAAAAGCACTGATTATAAAAAATTGAAGATGACACAAATAAATACAAACAAACCCTGTATTCTGCAGGGATTAGAAGAATTAACGTTAGGATGCCCACACGACACAAAGTGATGTATAGATTCAATGCAATGTCTTCCAGAATGCCAATGCAGTTTCACAGAATGACACGTGTCCGACACCACAAAGATTCTGACGAGCCAGTGCCTCGGGAATACACCTGGAAGTCGCACGCTGGTTTCAATCACAGTAATTGAAAATAGGATGACACGGACATAAAAACAGGCTCACAGACCAATGAAACAGAATAGGAAGCCAGAAATCAATCCAAACGTTATCAATGAGATGTGGAGACAGCCTCTCAGAGATGAGCTGGGCAAGGTGGACACCCACACAGCATGAGACAGATCCAACACCGTATCTACAACCAAGTCCAAATGGGCTTGACACAAAACATAAATCCTGAAACTAACGCTTCTGAGGAAAGTACAGGGAATACTTTGCCTGACAGATATGGGGTTTGTTTGTCTGTTTGTTTTTGGATATCATACAAAAGCTCAGGGAGCAAAAGCAAAACTAAACAAGTGAGCTAAACAATTCCTGCACAGCAGCAGAGGTTTTCAACAAAATGAAAAAGGCGGCCAACTGCTTGGGAGGAAATGTTGGTAAGTCATTATCTGGTGAGGTGTTACTATCTAAACAGTTAAAAAGCAAAACACAAATAGCATGAATAAAAATGGAGTGACCAACAGGATGTGTCTTCAAAGACGACATAAAAATGCCCACCAGGCATATGAAAATGTGCTCAACATCACGAGGCATCAAGAAGGCAAGTCAGGAAGCCGACGAGCCACGACCTCTCAGTACCTGGAACCGGAGCAGAGGGACCTGGCGCTCAAGGCTGGGCCAGGGAGTGGGGGGTGGAGGGCAGCAACGAGGCTGACCGCCTCTCCTGCAGGGGGCACGCGGGGCCCCTCACGCACAGTAGGGACTCAGTTGCAGACTGGACGTTTCACAACAGCTTTGTTGAGAGACAACTGATACAGGACAGACCCGTCTTCCGGGACCTGCCCTTAAGTGCTGATTCCCCGGGCCATCTGCCTTGGCCCACTTACACCAGACGCCTGGCAGACCCACGCCTCTTAAGGCCCTCGGCCTTCAGGCCCTGCTACAACAAAGCCTATCTTTACCTGCGTGGCTTTTCCTTTTTCCATTCTTTTTTTCAAGATTTATTTACTTTACTTAAGGGCTGATATTCAGAGAGGAGAGACAGAGAGAAAAAGATCTTCCATCTGCTGGTTCACCCCCACAGACCACAATGGCTGGAGCAGAGCTGATCCGAAGCCAGGAGCCAGGAGCTTCCTCCAGGTCTCCACATGGGTGCAGGGTCCCAGGCTTTGAGGCATCCTTTATTGCTTCCCCAGCAGGGAGCTGGATGGGAAGTGGAGCAGCCAGGACCTGAACACCCCCCTCTGCCAAGGACACCAGCCCTGGCAGTAAAGGTACAGAACCTACAGATATCCTCTTCCAGGTCATGGACACCTCTCCTGCCGAGCAGCCCAGCATTTCTGGGAGGCGCTGGCATCTTGCACAACTCCACAGCTGCAAAACTTCCTTCTGAGAAATGAAACTCTTCCTTTTCAAAGTTCAAACCGCAGGGCCCCCTGCAAGCACGACTACCGTGAAACAGCAGAGCCCGCTGAGCCCCCACTCGGCACACACTCCCACATTCCACTTGGGCCGCACACAGCAGGCTCACTGCTGCTTCCCCAGCCTCCTGTCACCTCCTCATGGGTGGGACCATGCAGCCTGCCCCTGCCCCTGCTCAGTCCCTCGCACTGGGCGGGGCAAATGCTGTGCTTGGGTAACAGGGTGAGGGCTCACGCTGTGAGCTCCTGTGGGGCTGGGAGCCATTCTACCCACAGGCGAATCTGCAGAGAACACCCCCGCCCTTGGATGTGAAAGCCCTAAGCCCCTAGTGAGCTGACACCTGGAGTGGGGCTTCAGCAGATGCTAACACAAGGTTAATTCACAATCCAAGAAGCCGCCAGAAGATAACCATCAGGTCAGAGGAGGTGAGGAGGGCGGGGCTAACCAGAGAAAACAGTGCTGGCCCTCTCTCCCCAACAGGACACAGTGCAGAGGCAGCCAGGTGAGCCAGAGAACCTCACCCACCCAGGAGCCAGATCTGCCAGTGCCCTCTGTGAACTCGGTCCTGGCCTCCAGCCGGCAGATCCGTGAGAAACCAATGCCTGAGACCATCTGGCCCGCAGGCCAGTCACAGACGCCAGCCCTAGTCCTCACCCCATCAGACAATTCCAGGCTGAGCAGCCAGGACCTTCTGCCTGGGCAGCAACCCAGCAACTTCCCACAAGGCCTGGCTGCTTCCTCCCACGTGACCCTGGCCTCCAGAGATGTCCTTGCAGGCCAAAACTAAAACAACACCACTCTTCACCGGTGTCAGGCATTCAAATTCAGTCGCACCTCTTTTGCACTCCTGGAGCCCCTCATCTAGGACATATGTGGGTCACAGGACATCAGCCCCTCCAGAAAGCGTGGTGGCACGCCGTTCCCTCTGCACTCCAAGGCTTCCCAGCCCCACACTCTGGGACGCGGCTGTAGCTCCGCAGCAGAGCGCAGCGTCACTGAGCATGGACCCCAGGGCTCGTGCCGCCTGCTTCCAGCATGCACACAGCAGAGGCCACCCCGACCCCTCACCCATGGCGTGCACAAGTCCTCCCTGCCCTGCTGGGCGATCAGAGCACAAGAAGGAACTGCCGAGGCTGCCAGGCCTGCCCCACTGGCACTGAGCCTCAGCCAAAGCAAGGAAAGGCCAGCCCGTGGCTAACTGCTCAACCCCATGTCAGTCACTGCTATAACCCTCAACCCAGAGTGGACTAACTTAAAAGGCAGAGTTACAAGGTGACAGTGAGTAAGTGAAAGAAAGCATCTCCCATCCGCCAGCTCACTCCCTAAATGGCCGCAATCGCTGGAGCTGGGCTGGTCTCAACAACAGGGGCTTCCTCCAGGCCTCTCAAGGACTTGGGCCATCTTCTGCTATTTTCCTAGGCCATAAGCAAGAAGCTGGATGGGAACTGGGGCAGCCGGGACTTGAAGTGATGCCCAAATAGGGTATGGGCACTAAGGACAGCAGTTTTATCCACTATGCCACAGAGCCGGTCCTGCTGGAGTTTTTAAACCTGTTTTACAGCACATTACTCCCCCAGCCTCACGCTGTTGAGTGCTGCAATGAATGCCAGGGCCAGCACTGTCCACTCGCCAGGGTCCTGGGCGAAGGCAGCAGGAGAAAGCAGCTCTGGGGAACAGGTGGTTCTTTCTCCTTCCAGAAACAGCACGGGCCTGGGGGTATATGACAGGCCTGTTACAAAGGAACGAAAGGCCCACAAACAGCATTGCTCCTCAGAACCAGCAGCCCACATGGAGGGAACGCTGCAAGTCTGGTGGGCGGGTGGCCCAGCCCCTGCCCCGAGGGGCGAGCCCAGAGCATGGAGGGTACACACAACACCCGTCCCCTCCGGCCAAAGCCAGAGAATGTTGTCAGGAGTCACCTGGGCCACAGGCGACATTCCCTGACCCCAGAGCTGACCGTGAACAAGCTCCACCTCAAATCTGAACATGAACAAGGACCCTGCCAGCCCAGCAGAGTCCCAGGAGGCCTCCCAGGGCCCCTGACAATGCACTGGTGTTAAAGGGAACAAGTGAGAGATCAGGGGGACAAGTGGACATTCAGCCGGCACAGGAAGAAGTGCCAACCTTGGAGATACAGACAGCAGTGAATCCTGCCCAGCAGGGTGTTCCTAGGGGTGGGGAGCACCACTGGACTCTGACCTTGACAGACTCAGGCAGGACACACACCCACCAGTCACACAGACGGCTCTGGCAAGGACTGCCCGGCCAGGCCTCCAGGAAACACATAGATCCAACACCCTGCTTCCTCAGTGACCCGCACGTTCCTAGAACTGCTTCTCCCAGCACCCACCCAGTTCTGGCCCGGAAGGCACCCCAGGAAACACCTGTGTGGCCACTGCAGGACAGCCCGGGAGCCTCTGGGAGCCTGAGGTCAAACAGGGAGAGCTGACACCAGCCTCCTGTCACCCTTCAGACTTGGGCCCACTATTCCAAGAAAAATAAGACCCCCTGAGCTGTGCAGTGGCTCCGTCGCACGGCCAAAGCCCACATCGCAGGCCAGTAAGGCACCACACCAGCCAACCCCTGGCCTGTCAGTGTTGGTGGTCTGCGATGTGTTGGAAGGTTTGGCCAGCGTGCAAGCTCTACAACTGCTTGGCACAGCTCTACCCACCTCCACCAGGGTTGTTCTGAGGATGCTCTGTAATAGCGGCCCTGCACGACCTCTGTCCCCAACCAGAAACCCAGCCATGGCACTAAGTCCACACAGACTTTTCTACAACATGCTGATCCTCACTCCAGCCCAGGAGAGCAACAATGGCAGCGATCCTGCTGGCCTTAAAAGCTCCATGGAGAGTTCGCAGGGAGAGGACGTCCCCAGAGCACTCCCTGGGATGCCCAGCCAGCTCTGCGGTATTCCCCTCCACAGCACCACTGCCACCAGCACAATCCGCAGGGGGATGCAGGCCACAGCAGCCAGCGGCGAGGCAACAAGACTCCCAAGTGCAAGCCGCACAGCAAACACGCTCAGAGCAGCCCAGGCGACCACGGCTGCCAGAGCACAGCCCACCTCAGCCCACCTACCTCCCCAAAGCCCACTCATCACTCAGCCAGTCCAGTTCAGGCGGCCATGGCCATCAGAGCACAGCCCCACCCCTGTCCACCCTACCTCCCCCGCCAAGCCCATATACCACTTACCACTTAGCAAGCCCAGCAAAGCAGGTGACAAGAGAGGTGGCCACCAAGTCTAGTGCTGCTACCTGTAAGTGTGTTGGGCCCTAGAGCCTCCCTGAGTCCCAGGGAGGAGGGGAAGAGCAGCCCTCAGGGTTGGTCCTGCATCTCTGCTGACAGCTATTGCCTGCTCAGAGATGGGCCATCAACCCAGCCCAGCATCTACCTCACGTTGAGCAGGTGGCCCTGGAGAGACTCGGGGGACCTGAGCTGGCAGGTCCTAGGGTCACTCCCAGCAGGACCCTGTCGAGAGCTCAGAACCCCTATGACCTTGCTTGCCTAGGACTTGCAGTCCCACCGGCACACAGCTGCGGCCTGGGTAGGCTTCCTGACCTCTCTGCGGCTGCAGGATGAATGCCCACCTGCCATGGCTCAGCGAGTCCACAAGGATGACCCTACCAGGACCTGCTACGGTTAAATGTGCACCTCAGGTGTGGTGGTGCTCACAGGCGGGCGGGTCCCCACAGGGGCTCTGTCCTCAGCCAGGGCTGGAGATCCCACCGGGGGCCATCTCACACACCATGAGCCGTTGCTCCCTCTGGAGGACGCAGGCACAGAGCACATCTTGAAGGTGCCACCACACATGCCATCCTGGTGACTTGGGCTACTGCGGCCTTGAGAACTGTGACAAATAACCCTGCCACAAAGAGACTAAGACAGTGCCCAGGAAAGGGCCTGTCTGGGGTGGCCAGTGCACCAAAGCTTCCTAGCCATGGCCATGATGGGTCAAAAGGATGCGCCAATCTAGCTGTCAGCATGTCCCTGCTCTTCCCCGGCTGTTCTGCCCTCACCGTGGCTCCAGACTAACACCGCCAAGCCCCTAGCCCACAGGCCCCAGATGCCTCCGCAGCCAGAAGCCCTGAAGCCAGGATCTGAGGAGACTTGAGGCCCACGAGGCCAAGTGTCCCCCAGTTCTCACCAAGTGAACCTCCAGTGCTGTAGCAACCCAAGCACAATCCAGAGCCATACTTCACAGGGAGAAGCAGGAGGTTCAAAACAGAACCAACAACTGTTCTTAGTCCACCCTAGGTCTGCACAAACCCAGTACCTTCCCAGCTCAGCGAGCATCCGTGTCGGGGAAGTCCACTGCCTCCACCCATGCCAGTCTCCCACCCTGGGAGTGCTTGGGTCACACCAACACCCAGAACTACGTGCCATCGATCACCATGAGGCAGTTCTGACACAGTGCTCTCCAGGTATGGGAAATGTAAACACCTGTTGTAAGTGTCGCAAGCTGTGAGCAGCTCCAGGGCAGCAAGCCTTTCTTCATGAGCTCCGACGTGCTGTGCAAACTAACTTAACAAATGGATGCAGAACTCTTCCTCACTCACTCACTCACTCACACCCCGTCAAGCACTGCAAACTTCTAAACAGTCTCCAAAGTCAGTCTTCCTTTCCCAGCCAAGACGGTGCAGACGGCTGCAGCCCCAGGACACTGCTCCTGGTGACCGAGGCTGCGCGGACTCACTCCGCTGCCGTAGGCTCCCCACAGATGCCCCGGCGCCTCCCTCCACCTCTCAGGGCAGAAACCCCGTGCTGCGCGGTGGGAAGGCGAGGACCAGGGCGGCGCCGAGACGAGCTGCGCACCTGCTACAGCACCTGCCTGAGGGACAACTCAGGTTCTCGTGCCATCTCCTTGAAACTTCCACAAGGCCCTGATTCTACAAGCGATAATAAACACATTATACTTCAAAATCTTTCTCAACAGGTATTACTATTCAGCTACAGTCTGCCCTGTGTTCCAAGAGAGCTTCTGGTAAATTCCATTTGCCCCCAGGGACAGCACTTACCTTTCACAAGCAGCTTGTCTCTCACTGAAACCCTCCGGGTGGAGTCCGGGGCGCTGGCTGCCGTCCGGGACCCCTTGAGACCGTCGTCCCGCTTCAGTTTGCTGGCCAGGGTCAGCATCCCTGCCACCTTCGCCCTGAAAGAGAACAGACATGGGTCGGACGGGAGCGCCACACAGCGACCGGGCACCGCAGAAAACACAGTCTGTGCCCATGCTGATGTGCTGACAAGTTCTGCACACACCAAGGCTGGCCCTTCCATGAAGGCTCTGAGTAATCCTCCTGCCAGGGCCTAGCTCAACCCTAGGCCTGAAGCAAAACTGTAAAAAGACAAAGTTGAGAACTGAACACACACCGCACCCCCTCTGTGCCGAGCCCAGTCAGGGAGCCTCCCCAGTGCCTGCACCGGGCCCTGTACCCCCAGTATGCTGAGCCCAGTCAGGGAGCCTCCCCAGTGCCTGCACAGGGCCCCGTGCACTGGTATGCCCACTAGTACCCACTAGTACATCCACACCTCCGGGCTGAGCCGGGAGGATGAGGGGCACCCCAAGGCTCTGCCCTCCTCACCGAGGAAAGCTGGAGACACTGTAGCTTGTTAATGTAGCTGCCTCTCCTACTTACATTGTAGCTCACTGAACACAGCTACATTTCTATCGCTTCTTGGCCTTTTGGTTAAGATCAAGTGAGCTACCTTTCTTGGTACCAGCCACATCGAGATGAAGTCACAACGAACACCCCAAACCAGATTCTCTTCTCAGGGGAGCCCAGAGAAAGCAATGCCTTCAAGCTTCTCTTACTGACCTTTAAGCTCACACCACAACTGAGAAAGCCCACACTCTGCACCCACGCAGAGCTTTCCCGCCACCCCTGTCCCCAGCGGAGGCCACGCTCTCTGGAACGTTCTCTGGAGCCAGCCCGCCGCGCCTGGCATGGACTCCACCAACTTCTTTTCATTAAAGTTAAGGCGCATTTCCTTCGCACAGCACATTCTCAGGGAAAAGTCTGCCTTAGTCCAGAACTACTCTCAGGTAACAACACTAGAAGTCCAATACAAGGATCCGCCCTCTCCTCGTTGCCATCCCGTCTTCGCGAGCCCCTCAGAGCCATCGCAGGGCGCTGCTGCCCAATCGGGCCCTTGCCCTGCCTGGAACACTCGCGGTCCCCTGCGCAGCAGCACGCCGCGCGTGGACGTGCGGAGCCCCGGCAGCCCGTTCCCGGGCCCAGCGCACTGGAGGCCCGGGGAGCTAGGCCGCTGCCACCCACACACAAAGGCCGTCGCAAGGCCTGGCTCCTGACCGGGGCCGCTGCACGTGCAAGCTTTCCCGCTGCAGCTCTCCTCCGCTCTGCCTTCTCAGTAAATCACAAAGGCAGCGGCACGGATCCAAACGCAGGCGCAACAGGAGGACCCCACCGCGCACCCGTGTGCACCGGGACGGGGGGACCTGCGTGCACCGGGACGGGGGGACCTGCGTGCACCGGGACGGGGGGACCTGCGTGCACCGGGACGGGGGGGACCTGCGTGCACCGGGACGGGGGGACCCGTGTGCACCGGGACGGGGGACCCGTGGGCACCGGGACGGGGGGACCTGCGTGCACCGGGACGGGGGGACCTGCGTGCACCGGGACGGGGGACCTGCGTGCACCGGGACGGGGGGACCTGCGTGCACCGGGACGGGGGGACCTGCGTGCACCGGGACGGGGGACCTGAGGCGGCGTGCCCAGCAGCGCTCCCAGGGCGATCACTTGACCCCGAGTGCGGTCCTGGCTTGAGGTCCTGGTCAATGTCACACTTCACACAGGCAGCTTGGGACAGCTCCGATCATAACTCGGTGAGCTCATCCGCTCCAGCGTCTTCAGCCTCAGCCTGCCATGCCACCTCCCCAAGCAGACCTCCACGTGGCACAACAGTGCACGCACTGTCACCGTGTCACCTCCCAGGCAGCAGCCACCTTGCCCCCTCACAGCCCTGCGATGCCTTAGCAGGTGCTCCCTGACGCACCGCAGCCGGAGAGCGGTGCCGGCGTGTCCCGCGCCCGGACCGGCCGCTCCGCAGGCTGGCACGGCGACGGGCAGGAGCCCAGGAGGCCTGCACGTGCCCAGCGCCGCCCGGGCCCACGCTGGCACCGCTGCTGACGGCTTGGCACCCCAGCCGGGCCCACAGGGAGCTGGTGGCCCTCGGCAGGACGCTGGGTCCCAGCTGCCTCATCGCCCAGCTTCTGAGAAATCACGATGGCACCAGCCGTGGCCGGGAAGGCTTCCGCAGCCGTCACCGTGGGCAGGCGCTGCAGGACCCTCGGGCCCTTCGGCCTCGGCGCCGGCAGCTCCGCCTGCCCCGCGTGCGGGAGGGCAGGCCGCTCCGGCGGGGTCCCCTCGGCGGCTGGGGTGCCACACCTGGCCCCCGAGGCCAGCAGCTCTGCCCCCACCCGCCTCCCCTCCGCACCCCCACTTCCCGACGCGCACCCCAAGGCCTCAGCCTCCGTGCTCCGGGACGCCGGTGACCCGAGCCCCGCTCCCGCGCCACGCCCAGGACCCCGCCGCCGCGACCCGGCCTGGGCCCGGGCCCGTCCTCCGCCTCTCACCTGGGCCCCCGGAGACAGGCGAGGCGCGCCCGGCGCCCAACACCATGCCCGGCCCGAGCGGCGGCGGCGGCGACGAGACGCGGCCCCTCAGGGCTCCTCAGGCCTCCTCCGGGCTCCTCGCGGCTCTCACGGCCCTCAGGTCTCCTCAGGGCTCCTCGCGGCCCTCACGGCCCCTCAGGCCTCCTCAGGCCTCCTCACGGCCCTCACGGCCCTCACGGTTCCTCACGGTTCCTCACGGCCCTCAGGGCCGCGCCGGCTCCGGGCGGGCGGCGGGACCGGAAGTGGCGGGCGGACACTCGATCTTTCCCCGGCAGCGACCGCGAGGGCAGCGGGCGCTTTAAAAAAAAAAAAAAAAATCAACGCGGCCGAGAACTTTATTGGGAGCTCGATTCGAGAACAGCGGGAGGCAGAGCGCGGTGAGAACCTCTCTGATTGGTAGAGCGCGCGGCTGGGGGCGGGGACATGTGGCTTGGCCCTAGCTGATTGGCTATCGGCGACCGGGGGCGGGGCTTCCCGGCCAGGCACCCGAGGCCCTGACCCGGTGGGAGGCCCGGGGGTCGCGGACGGCTCGTGTCGCCTGGTCCGGGCCGGGGTCGGGGAGAACGGGAGGGATGCCGTGAGCGGCCGGACGGTTGGGCAAGAGGATTGGCCGTGTCAGCTTCTCCTTCTGCAGGCTTTAGCTGAGTGAGCTGCACGGAGGGCAGGGCTGCGGCCCCCTGGGTTGGAGGGTGCCGCTCTGGTTGGTGCCCCACGTGGGTGACCGTTCCCCTGAGTCAGCCTGACGCCGCCCACTTGCCGGCTAGAGCCCTGGCGACAGCAGATAAGAGCCCGGAGCCAGGCTGGCGAGGGCGGAGGCACCCCTGGAATGCAGGGAGCAGGCCTGCACCCACTGGGCCTGCTGGCAGCTTGGGTGGGGCCTGCACCCTTGCCGGCCGCTTCAGGCCCTCCCCTGCTCAGAGCTGCCTCATAAAACCGGGGTTGTTACCCCATCTTGTCTGGTGACAGACAGAGGCATGCCGTGTGACACAAGTGGGACTTGAACCCTGCAGCCTGGCACCGGCTCTCAGCGGGCACCATTCCGACCTGCCCTGGCTCTCACCCAGATTTAGAAGGTCGAGGCCGGGAGGGCTGTCCCCGAGCTGCCCCTGTGGAGCTGGTGTCCTGGCCTCACATTCCAGGGCGCTGGCGGCTGGACGAGGCTGCCCCAGCCCACCCGGTCACAATCCAGAGGGGCTGGCAGGACTGCAGGGACAGGCCGCCCAGAGACAGCAGGGGTGGGGCAGGGGGCATGTCCACCGAGTGTCCACCCGGCCGCTTCAGCCCCTTAGCCACAGCTGGGAGAGTTCAATACCAGCAACTCCCAGCTGTCCCTGTTCCCGTCCCCTTGGTAACCCGTGTGGGAAACCGATGCCCAGTGCATGGGTGCTGGGAAGTGGGGCCTCATGGGACGAGGCGTGGGGGGCACTGCCCCTTCCGAGGGGGCGTCCCTTCTGCCCTGGGGGGCTGCCCGCACCTTGGCCGGGGATAGCTCAGCCCGGTCCTTAGCAGTCACCTCATCTGTGGTGTTCTGTCAGAGCAGAGCAGGCGGGAGGGGGCTGTGCAGCCTGGCCCAGGGCCTGGGCGCTGCAGCTAGGAGCCGCCTGCTGCGGGCTCCCTGGCACCAGGGCCCAGCACCTTCTGGGCTAGGGGCTGCCTCTCCGACCTCAGCCCGTGTATTGGCCGGCTCAGGCTGCTGAGCAGCACCACACAGAGCTTTTGCTTTTCTCTGTAAAGCAACTTCCTCATTTATTTATTATTTGAAATAGAAGTAATACAGACAAAGAGACAGGTCTTCCACCTGCTGGTTCACTCCCCAGATGGCCTCACAGGTCAGGATGAATCCAGCCTGAAGTCGGGAGCCAGGAGCTTCATCCCAGTCTCCCGATGGGGAGGGCAGGAGCCCCAACACTTGGGCCATCCTTTGCTGCTTTTCTGAGAGCAGCCAGGACACGAACCAGCGCCCATGTGCGATACTAGAGTCGCAGGTGGCAGTCTGTACGGCCCCAGAGGCTCAAACAGCAGGAGCTCAAACAACAGGTGTCCATTAATCCTCTCCCAGTTGGGAGGCTGAGAAGTCAACTCAAGGCCAGTGAGGTGGAGTCCACTCCGGGGCACGTTCTGTAGTCCCTGGGGCAGCTGCCGCCCAGCCGTGTGCCCAGCGGCCTCCCTGTGCTCAGCAAAGGGCTTCCCTGGGTCCTCTTCTTCTTGCTTTGCTTGGAGAGAGACAGGAAGAGCTGCTTCACTCCCCAGAGCAGAGCATGGAATGTGGGTCTCCCATACGGGTGGAAGTAACCCACCTGCTCATCCTTGCTGCCTCCTAGCCATCCCCACTGGCTGCAGGATGCTGGGATCGAGGTGGAGCCCAGGTTGAATGCAAGCTCTCTGATACAGGGCGGCATCACCAGTGCCAGGGCCTGCCCTCGTGGCACAATGACTCAGGGGTTCCACCTCCAAACACAGCCACTCTTGGGGTTCTGGCTTCCACACTCAGTCTAGGATGGTCAGCTGACGCCCTGGAGGGTCAGGCTTGTCCGGCCAGCTGCTCCCCACCTCCCTGGGACACTCTCCGCCACGTGTCCCTCAGCAGAGCGGGCTGGCCTGACTCTGGGTTGCAGCGGGACATGAACCCTGGAGGTTGACTCTGTGGTCCAGCTGAATCAGCATGGCCCCACCCGGTGGACTCAGGGCTACTCCCTGCAGCACACACTGTCCTTCCTCTGGCAAGGCCTTGTGACGTGCCAAACGCAGGCTCTTGTTCAACAGATCAGGGAACAGCCCCCGAGAGACCAGAGGCAGAAGCGTGTAGGAAGACGGGTTTCCCCTTGGCCCGCATCTGCTACCCCTAGCCCTGTGTTGTTCCAGGCAGGTGCCGGTCCTGGGGGCATGAGGCTCAAGACACAGGTTCAGGGACTCCCAGCCCAAGGGGAGAGCTTGTACAAATGCACAGGCCCACGGGGGGAGACTAGCACTTGGTAAATTGCTGTGGAAGGGAAGGCAGCAGGAGTGGACACAGCTGGAACCCTGAGCTGCGAAGAGTTAGCTAGGGAGAGGCTGGGGTCCCCAAGCTGGCCGCCAGCATCCCCTCAGAGCCCAGCAGGGGGCGCTGCAGCAGGTGCCAAGGATCGGGCTCTCTAAAGCCAGTGCTACACGCTTCTGAAAATGGAGTGCTTTAGCTAGGAGAAAAGTTGATCAGGCCTAGCAAGGCTAAAGGCAGTGTCCTGGGTCTAATCTGGACCAAGATGAAACCGAAAACGTGGCTGGCAGAGGCTGCAGGTGTTGGGAGGCCCTGAGGGGCAGAAGCCAAGAAGCAACACCCAAGGTGTCCCCTGTGGCCTGAGGGGAGGGTGGCCTTGGGGCAGTGCCTCAGCCCGGCTCAATGCCCTTCCCCTCACCAACATTCACGTAAAAGGCCGTCCAGGCGGCAGCACTTTCACCCAGAGTGGGGTGGCTTTAGTGACATGCTGGCATGCTAACTGCCCATTGCGCTTGCAACTGGCTGCTAGGGGGTACATCATCCTTGCTTTTATTTCTAAAAAAAAAAAAAAAAAATCATAAGATGGGCTGTGGAGGAAAAGGACTGAGTCAGAGTGGCATTTTCAATCTCGTTACAGACTAAAGACCCATAATTCAGCCCAAAGCTGTTGGATACATTCTTCATTTTTCTTTAAACATTTTATTTATTTTGGGCTCAAACACATGGCTCAATGGCTAAATCCTTACTTGCAAGCACCAGAATCTCATATGGGTGAATCTCATGTGGGTGCCAGTTCATGTCTCGGCTGCTCCACTTGCCATCCAGCTCCCTGCTTGTGGCCTGGGAAAGCAGTCAAGGATGGCCCAAAGCCTTGGGACCCTGTACCTGCGTGGGAGACCGGAAGAGGCTCCTGGCTCCTGGTAGGCTTGCTTCTGGCTGATGTGGTCCAGAGGATGAAAGGGTTTTGTTTTGTTTCGTTTTTGTCTGTCTCTCCTTCATCAATCTGATCTGCCTTTCCAATAAAAATAAATTCAACTTTTAAAAAATCATTTATTTTCTGTTTGAAAGACAAAGCTATATCTCTAGGGGAGGGGGGATTTTCCATGCTCGTTTATTCCCCAGATGCCCGCATCGGCAGGACTGGGCCTGGCAGAAGCCAGGAGCCAGCAGCTGTATTCAGGCTTCCTATGTGGGTGCCAGTGTGCGGCAGCAGGAGGCAGGGTCAGAGGGTGAGGCAGGATTCCATGCCAGGTACCCCAAATACGGGATGCGGGTTCCCCAGAAGAGGCTTCGCATGCCAGGTACCCCAATATGGATGCGGGTGCCCCAGGGAGAGGCTTCACCTTGCATGTTGTTGCAAGGGCCGCACAGTCTAGCTGGCAGCAGGACCCTGCAGTGGGGGCAGTGCTCCCTGGCGACCCCTGCCCGCTGAGCTGCCTGCCTCCCCCGCCCCATCCCTAACTGCGCTAGAGGAATATTCCTCCGGGAGCTGCCTGCCCTCATCCTCTCCACTTGCGTTTCGCATGACACATTCCTTTGTGTTGGTCACTTAGCGAGATGAGTTCATGCTTTCAGGTAAAAAGTTCCAGCAGAGAACTTAGGGGTGTGTGCATGACGCTCTGTGGCTGTTGTATGAGAAACCATGGTTTCTGGAACCTGTGACTACGTGACTTTGCACAGCAAGACGGACTGCAAGGCTAACAGCAAGTGGAGTATCTCGAGATGAGACTGGTCCAGGTGATCCAGATAAGCCTGACTCACTCGTCTGGTGCTCGGCACGGACAGGCCGGTTGGTACCTCTGCAGGAGCTGCGAGGCTGGAGACAAAGGTGGGCTGATGTGGAGAAGGGGCCCGAGCCACAGGGTGCAGGTGGCCTGCCGCAGTGGAACACCAAGCACCCGGACGCTTACCTGAAGCTCTTGGGAGCGCGGCCTTGCCGTGTCGGGCTGAACCGTCTCCCCTTGAAGTGTGCATCTTCAGCTGTAAACCCAGCGACCTGTGTCAGCGGGTAGGGCCTTTGGAACGAAATGAGAGCACGATGAGCTTGTTAGGGGAAAGTTCCAACCCCATTGGATCCAGTGCCTTTACCAGAAAGAGTAAAGAGAAGGGGGACTCCCCGGGGACACAGGGCGAACTTGGCCGGCCAGAAACTGGGCAGGATTGGAGCTGGCTGTGCCCAAACCCGTAACGTCCAGCACAGAGTCCAGTTGAGCGGGTTTTTGGTCAAGGCAGCTCTGCAGTCAGATACCTCTTGATACCTTGCCTCAGTTCTGC